GAATTCTACAAAATTTAATTTACTCACATGACATAATTTTGCTAGCTAAAAGGAAACTGAATGAAAATTGGAATAAATTATGGGAAGTATCCAAAAATGTTAAGGGTAACATTTTTGACACTATGCTGCCATCCAAGAGGTTATTCCTCCCAAGCCTTGGTTCTTTAAATTTAACAAAGCAAATCAACATGCAACTTCAATCATTTGTAGATTAAGAATTGGACACGCTTGTAAACATGCACATCTGGCAAACATCAGAGTAAGGGATAGCTCATTATGTGAATGTGGCTTAGATGAAGGTTCCACAAACCATATTTTTTTCAACTGTCCCAAATTATCCTCCTCCCTTTATGATTACCTTCCACCTTATATTCCTTAATCTATAGATTTTAATTCTCTTTTAACATATACCAGTACTCCTTTTGTGTATATTTTATATGATTTTATTAATACTAATAATAAGAAACTTTAAATCCTTGTCACTTTTAACATACTGGAGTCTAACACCTGTGTTTGTCCTATTTGTTCTAGGTAATTCAACAAATAGATTTGTCAAAATTCTCGGAGGAAAACTGAATCCTTGTATTATCACAGACTCTTATTTTAATTAAACTCATAAGCTTTCATTTTCCACTCAATACGTCATTGGCGAATTTTATCAAACCGCCACAAAACAAAGAAGAAGAAGAAGGTAGTATAATATTTTCACATCTTTGCTGTATATGTGTATTTTGATTTAGACCTAAATGGAGATTTTTTCATGCCTTAAATTTTCACAATCATCAACCAGTATTAATACCCTACCATATTTTTAAAATTAAGTGCAGATTTATGCCCACAAATACAATTACTCTAAGAAAATCTATATTATGTATATTTTATGAAATTATTTTCATGAATTTTGTTGTTTAATTTTACTTATTTTTAACTTGTTTTTAACACTAGCAAGACGCAAAAACAGCTAAACTTCAAAGGTGCTCAAGGGTCATTTGACCCATAACTGCTACCTAGTCTCTAATTATGCATATATGTTAGTCTTGTGTAGTCCGTGATCGATGAATGAATAGGAAACGTATCTTAGCACTGTACTAGAAGAAATCTTTCCAATCGCTGATTGTTAATCAGCTTAATAGCTCTTTTCGTACACACCTAACTTTGCATGACGCCAAAGAAGTGCGAACGAGAACATAACATACGAAAGCGAGTGAATGAGAGAATCGGTGAGACGTTAAAGAATAGATGAATCAATAGTTAAAGCAATGCAATAACATTATCATCCGAAAAGATGCAAGACTTGTTGTGTTAGCATGTTATTGTACTTATTATAATCAATAAATAGATACAGACATTTGATAGACTTCATTTCAGCACTTGTAAAATTGCGTAAAAATTATATAAAGTTGAAGTTATGTTATAACTACTATTGAGGAGAGTTTTATGTTTTTTATTGTTGTTTTAATATTTGTTTCGTGCTTGGATGCTTTTTATATTCGCATGCTATGGATATGGGGGGATCTCTGTCACTAATGCTAATTATTATTTCAACACTAGTTGAAATAATAATTAGCATTAGTACTTTGCTTTAGACTTATAATTTGACTAAGAAATTATTAAGTGTGTGTGTTGTACCAGTAATTAAACAATATTACGACTCAAGCAGATATCGACCGACTGAGATAGCCGTTCCATACACACAGATACAGTTTAAACTGTTTAGTAGTACTGATGACCGAATAGAGCTAATAGAACTATTTGAACAAACTAGTTCACTGTCTGAAATGTACTAGTATGGAGCGATCTTTAATATGACCGAGCAGGCACAAGACTAACATATGTGTAGTGTAACTGTAGAAATAGCAGACAATATTAATTGTTACAATGGCAAAATAAATATTTTTGGTATCTAGTGTAAAAATGTGTTTGATGAAAATATTTGAAGTACATAATGACATATGAATATTTTTGATAGATTGCATCTGCCACATAGTGGTTTTCTGCACAAATCATACATTTTATTAGTTTTATTTTTACTGGCATTTCTAAGGTGATAGAATGTTGCAGTGAGGTTTCATGAGTGGATTCTTCTAAAATATTACTCAGTTCAACTGCCAAATGCAGTGTATAAATTCTCTGCTATGTATTTTCCTGTTATTTATTTCTTGTTGCAACACCAAGGCATTTATTGCAGATAAATCAAAAATATTATACAATACTTGTACTGGTCAACTTTTAGAAGGCGTTTAATGCTGTATCTTATCCCCACTTGATCAACCACATCAACACCTTATTTAGTTGAATTGTAAAACATAACGGTTTCGGGTTTTTGACGTGACAATGTCTAATAAATCGATGAATGCCAGCTGTATACACGAAAAGGATGACTCATTGCCCCATTACACTCCAGCCGAGCCGAGCCGAGCACGATCGGAGCGAGAGCGCGGCACGAATAAGTATGCAATCATTTCATCAATTATGATGTTGTCACGTTAAACTATCATCCGTAAACCGTCTTTACGGACAACCATTTTTTTCTTGACATCACCACTATGTATATGAACACTATCACAAAACAATTTTGCTTCTCTTTGTTTGGTAAACAGTCCATAAGCATTGGTCATTTTCTATTTTTAGTGCATTGGTGTCATATTAATCCATCCAAATGTGTCAATCCAAAAAAAAATCCAAAAGTCAGATTATTTATAGTACCCACCAAAGTTATATGTTTTAAAAAAGCAAGCAAATTCTGTGCGAGACACCTACGAAAAAGTTGTCTGTAGTCACATTTCTACCTTTATTCACAAATGGTTTCATAAGATGTATGACGACATGTTGTCCTTAACTTAAGACTTCAATTTAACCTGTTGAGTTTCATCTTTCCCAAGATATGGGTATGTATTCAACAAATATTTCAAATTGACATCAACATATAGCCAACATTTTATTCGAAATTTATCAGATTTATTAGCCATATATTAAATAATCAAACTTTGGTAGCAAGCAACTGATCATCTATTGTTACATTTTATCCAAATTTGTAGCATGGAATGCAGTTTTCAATCAAGTGATCCAAACTTGAGAAATTAATGCTAATCTATCTATTATGATTCTCATAGATCATTCTGATCTCACATTGAATCATACATATTTCAAATTTTCTAGACTAGAAATACATAAAAAATATCTAAACCATTACATATGTACACTAGTACATACAACTATAAAAAATAGCAATTACTTATAAAAATTTAAAAATAAAATTAACGGAATAATAGGTTTTTATCTATGAAATTGCTATTCTACAGTATGGGCCATTTCACATAAAGGCAATTTTTTTTTGGCTAAGAATGCTAATTTTAAAAATTTTTGTTATTTTAAAAACATGAAATTCTTTTTTTCAAAATTAGTTTGTTGATTAGCCTTACATTTTCATCACATTTGAATCTTCTCCGTCATCATATGTGGTAGAGCCATACTGCAGTTACATTATCAGTATAGTTGTAGCACAAATGGGTTGACTTGTTCGGGGAAGGACTATGCTTTCACAGAATAACAGCATAAAATAGCAGCTTAATGCTGCTGTGTTTCGTTTGGTGAGTGTAGACAACTTGAGACCCTTATAAGAGGCATTCCATCTTAGTCCTCACAGGTGACAACGCATCTGCATTTTGATTAGTAAGTAATTGAGGATAGATATAGATGTCTATGGGCCACAGCAATCACTTACCATCAGGTGGACTGCGTGCTTGTTTGTCACCCTATCATATAAAAGAAAATCATAAGGATACATGAAAAATTCAAGTAATTACGAAATATGAGTACCATTGTGGCAGCAACGTGTTACAAGCGGTATGCAACATCAACGACATTTACGGATCAAATACTACAAACACACGCATCACCTGTAATTGATTTGCACACTTCCATTCTGGAAATTTCAACCTGAAAAAATAACTCCATAGTCAACCGAAAACTTGGGTCGATAATGCAGAATGAAAAATGATTGTGGAAGCTAATGATACTCAATTTACAGCTGAATTAGCAGCAGCTTTCGACATTAGCGTTAAAACAATATTGGTCTATTTGCATCAAAATGGCAAGGTAAAAAAAAGCTTGACAAATGGGTGTCTTACAAACTCAATGATCGCCAGCGAGCTGTACATGTCGAAACGTGCCTTGCACTGTTCAACAGTAAACTGCATTGTTACCTGCAACGAAAACTGGATTCTGTTTGACAATTTCAAGTGCTCAGCAGTTGGTTGGATCCTGGTTCAGCATCTAAACAATGCCCTAAACGAAAACTTACCCCTAGAAAAGTGATGGTCACTGTTTGATGGACTAGTATTTATGTGATTCATCACAGTTTCTTACCAAACGGAATGAGCATTACTGTAGATGTGTACTGTGATGAACTAAACACAATGGTGGGGAAGCTTGCACATCACCAACCAGATTTGGTCAATCGCTTGTCTCTGCTGCTCCTGCATGACAACGCACAACCTCATACTGTACCACAAACTGTCTCCAAGTTACATGTTGGGAGCGCTCTGTCATCCACTGTATCACCAGACTTTGCGCCTACAGATACTTCTTTTTCCAGAATTTGGATAACTTAAGCATACAAACTCCAAATTGATCCCATTCATGTCGTCTCATGCAGTAACATTGTTACTTAAATTAGAAAGATCTCTGAAAATATTGAAAACTAGTAGGTACTGCAACTGTAAAAGCTAAAATGCGTTGTTATCAAGTTACTATTTTTCTTTTCTACAAAATATAATAGAAAATGTAAAGTACATGAAATAATCAAAAAGTACTTTTGATTATTCGTTATTTATTACTTTAGTTACATGTACCTAAGAAATTACTTTTAAATCCGAGAAAAACATATCCTTATAATTATGACAAAGTAAATATATGTTCATTCAACCCAAGAGGTCAATTTTTCAGTATACTTATCCTGAATTCACAGGTTAGTTACAGCAACTTGTGTATTTGCTTACATGTGTAGCCATGGGCATGGTGACGACTCCTGGTGCAATCCCGTATGGCACCATTGGGGGGCGGGGCGGGAACGACATCGCACAATCCACAATATTTATCAAAGTTAAACGCTCATCCGCCCTGCAAATAACTAACACTATATTTTGTACGTTTTGTCAAAGTGACGCGTACAGTTAATCACTAACTTCCTCTCTATCTCTAGCTACGAGATGTTTACACAATCAAAATTTGTATGGGTATTTTTCACTTTTAACTTAGATTCGTATTATTTAATAAGACTTTTCATCTAATAAAAATTACAACCTAAGTTCTTTAACACCAAATTATTTGGTTTGGCATTCAACTCGGCCATGTTTTAATTTTCTTTTCACATTTATAACAGCATTGGCTACAAGGCTTTCAGCCTACGAAGTCCATCCAAAAAGGATTCATACAACGCAGAAATATCAGTGTAATTACAATCAGTAAAATAAGCTTTTATACGATATTGGATGACAAGAAAGTCTGTGTTTTCTAAGTGAATTTTATTTATCTATTTATAATTATCTAATTAAACAATGAATGACAAGCTCGTGACAACTGTCCATGCGGTCGGAGCTAAGTTCTGCAAGACCCGCCGCAGAAGAACACAAAAACTCTCCGATCACACTCTTAATCTCATGGCTGTTAGACGGGAGATGAGGCTGCAATCGTCAACAGATTTGACAGCGTACAGGCAACAGAACGGACAGATCTCCAAATGCATGCGGCAACGCTTACGCAACTTTAATACTGCTCGTATTAAAGAAGCGATCGAGCGGAACCAGGGCTCCAAAGTATTTTCCAGAGATCTGCCTGCCAGAAAGAGCCAATTGTCAAAGCTGAAGACTGAGTGGCAGCATCGTTTTCGGGACACCTGAGATTTTGAGTGAAAATGAGAGGAGAAAACGGGCAGCTGTACACATCGTCGTTGGAGGCACACGCAAGTGTGAGTAACAATCCAAGAGCAAGTCTTATCCGACACTATTCCGATGATATACCGGACGTTAGTCTGAGCGACATTAGAATGGCTCTCCTGCACCTTAAAAACGGCAGGGCCCTGGGCGAGGTTGAAATTACAGCGGAGCTTCTGAAAGCGGGTGGAACACCGGTACTTAAAGTCATTCAGAAGCTCTTCAATTCCATCCTACATGGTAGCACTACTCTGGAGGCGTGGAGCAGAAGTGCGGTGGTCTTGTTCTTTAAGAAAAGCGACAACGCTCTCTTGAAGAACTACAGACCAATTTCCTCGCAAGAACAAGCCGGTTTCCCAAAAGGCTTCAGTACCATAGACCACATACATACCCTGCGGCAGATTGTACAGAAGACCGAAGAATGTAAGGTGTTATGTTATGTTATAGTTTTTTTTATGGAATAAGGGTGCCAAATGAGCACACAGGCCACCTGATGGTAAGTGGTTGCTGTAGACTATAGAAATCTTCATTTATCCTAGATTAAGACTCAAAATGCAGATGCGTTGTCACCCCTTGAGGACGAAGATAGAATGCCTCGTTTCCAGTAAAAAAGGTCACCGGTTCTCTACACTTACTATGCGAAACACAGCAGCCTTAAGTTGCCATTTTACGCTGGTATTCTGTGAAAATGTGGTCCTAACCCGGTCGAGCTCACCCATTCGTGCTACAACTGTTATAGATACAGCATGGCTCTACCACGTAAAGTAGTATAGTGATATAACATTGGCATGACCGCCTTTTAATATAATCGATGATTTATATTTTCCGTTAAACAAGTGGTAAATCTAAATAAATAAAAATCAATTACCACATGTATGAAAGATCATCACTTAAGAAAGGCTGGACAGATTTCGATGAACTCTCATACTTATAATTGGACCCTGCATGTGGCATTGTTATTAAGATAGAAAACAATCTTGAAAAGCCTGGGCGGGTCGTTAGTCAGCATATAAAATTATGATTACAAATGGTGTCCAACTCGCTCATGTAACGTATGTCTGTGAAGATTTAGTATTGATATTATTAGTTTAGTATAATTATTAGTTTTTAAAGTTTGCGAAAAGAATATTTGAAATGAAATATAATATCACTTGGTTTCGAAAACAATTTACTTATCGTTCGAATAATAATAAGTCTGGTCCTATTTTTTTAAATATTTTAGGCATATAAGGTAATAACAATAAATAACTAAACAAAAACGAGTATATCCATGTCGATTGTTGCAGTCGATTGTTACAGACACAACGCTTGAAAAGTAACGTCATACATAATACTGCTACAACTGGGATGTCATTTTTCTAGTAAATCAGAACATACGAGTGTACTTACTCTCATATTTGGCATAGTAAGACCAAAGATGACCATTTGATATTTCTATTTCCACGCTTGAGTTATACGTAACATCTTTCAACGGATTTTTCCATTTTTGCCTTATTCAAAAATTAAATAAGAAAAAGCGAGACAAGTATATTGACTCAATTTATGTTGAATTGTAGGTTCTCTCTATGCACACGTATTGTTGCGCGGCTAAGTTGACATCTGGCACTAGCGCCATCTAGTGTCGGGTAACAGAGCGAGGAGAGAGCGTTCCAGAAAATGACATCACTAATCTTTCAACCGACAGCGCCATCTGTTGTCGAAACGAAGAACCAAGCTTCTAGAAGCCCGACGCTCGAACTTTCGATGCTTAGTCGATTGGCGCGCGTATTTACTTGAATGTTCTGGATTTTTCGGTGCTAAGGTGTATTTATAGGCGCTGCAAGGTGCTTTCGGGGAAATATTGAATTTGGCGAGACAAGCGAAGCTTCGAAGCGGAATAAAGTGAATCAGTGTGATTAATTGTTAGTGTTTTAAGTTTTAATTGGTGTAAATAAAATTAAAGTGTTAATTTAGGTAATTCTATCGGCAATTTTTATTGTCACGAATCTCAAGCTCGTAACAGTATGTATGTAATTACTCTTGAGATCTGATTGAAGAAAATGTTGTGAATCTGCCGTAAATTATAATACCGTAAAATATATTGACTTTTTTCACTTACATAATCATCTGAGAGAGAGAAATCCTCTAAAGAGAGAATCGGTTGGAGCTCTGAATACGAAGAATATGGTAAGTAGGGAACAGTGATGTCGAACCTAATGATTTTTTAGTGTTTTAAATAGAACATCAGTACAGATAAGTTTTTTTCTTTTATGTTTCTGTAATTAGAATTATTTTTGTGTTTCTACTTTGGTTTTCTACGGACAGTTTTGAATACACAGTCTATACACCTTACTTCTACCGTAGACAGAGAAACCTATAGACTAATGATTGGCGTGGCCTCGAGTGAGAAAGGATGATACCGTAATTTTAGGTTATACAGTAATCTTTATGACTTTCAAACACAATTAGATAAAAATTTTAATTGTTCTAAGAACTGAACTGAACAAGATTCACCAATCTTAAGCTTACAAAATACTTTTTTCTCACTTAAACCAACTTGTAACTCCTTAGCTCGCTACGAACTGTCAAAGTTGTTTAGCAAAGTGCAGTTTGCTTTGCAAAAAAACCGGCACAGAGAAAGGGACAAACAATCACACCACTCTGTCTCATTTCTATGCAAGACGTATGCATGAATCTATCTTTTTCATGTGCGAATGCGAAAGAAGGCGTCAATTTGTCTATAGGTTTCTCTTTCTACGACTTCTACATAGACCACAGGATAGAGAATTTTGTAAAGATTCTATAATGCCAAACGTTTTCATAGAAAAGTTGCCTATAAATATAAGATTTAATGGTTTAAAGTGCTGTGGGTGGGTGCGGTCGCATGCGACCGCTCGGGATTTAACGGACGCATGCGATTGCATGGGAATTTTAAAGGAAAAAAAATAAAATAACGGAAGAAAGTTCTACGTTGATATCATCCCTTAAACTCGGTAGACAGCCTATTAGATATACATACAAAACAATTAATTGATTACGCAAATTTTTGACATCCATTATGAAATCCGAGGTGTATTTTAAGAAACACAAGAGTGACGGGCTTGAATTTGCCAGCCTTGCATAATGGTCTCTGATTGCAGTGGCGTCGTGCGACGGGTCATCCAGTTCCCTTGAAAACGTTAGAGCTGGCTGCCACATGCGTGACGATGCGTCATACTTGTGAACAGGTGCTGCTGGTGAGGATTGGTCTGCTTAGGTTTACAGATGGTAGGACATCTTTTTAACCTAGCATCCCTTCTGGATAGGTTTTTATTATTTATTTTTTATTTATTTATAGGATAGGGTGACAAACGAGCACACAGTCCACCTGATCGTAAGTGGTTGCTGCGGCCAATAGACATCTACATCTATCCTCGATTACAAATCAAAATGCAGATGCCTTGTATTCCGTGAGGAATAAGATGAAATGCCTCGTTTCCAGTAAAAAGGGTCTCCGGTTCTCTATACTCACCATACGAAACACAGCATTAAGCTACTATTTCACGCTGGTATTCTGTGAGAGCGTGGTCTTACCCGGTCGAGCCGACCCATTCGTGCTCTCTGTGCTTTCGTGCATGGCTCTACCACATATAGGCACTATTCCCTTGCTCATTGCTACCGCCAAATAGCAGTATGTGCACTGCTGCCCGAAGAGTAAATAGGCAGTATAATTACAAGCTGTGAGACATTTCATCTTGGTCTTCAAAGTTGAGTACGCACCGGTGGCCTTCTTTATTTGAAGTTGGTTGCTGATTCCTATGACACTTCAACTTGATATAACCACGGAATAAATAATAGTACTTACAAGATACAACAAATTATTTTGTTTTATATATGTATATAGTATAGTTGTTAGGTATATGCATGACTGTATGTATGGATGTATGTATATGTTTTTATTATATGTATTTTATATTAAGTTTATTAACATTATAAAATTTATTATGAGGGTGCACACTAAATCTGCTTCACTTTGAATCTGTCCAGTATCAGGCCTGCTGGAAGAAATTTCAATATGAAATAAGCAGTGCCGTTGGACAAAATATCTTTTTATTTTTCATTGTAACATTACTTCGTGTGTACATACACAGTATATACATTTAATAGTGGTAGAGCCACGCGGCACTTTGCTGTTGCACGTATGGGCCGGCTCAAACCGGGGTAGTACCACGACCTCACAGAATACCGGCGTGAAGTGGAAGCTCTGCTTCCGCGTTTCGTCTGGTGAGTGCAGGTAGCTGGAGGCCCAAATCCCGCCCCCACATCAACATTGTAGTGGAATTAAATGATGATAGACTACCCCAGGATGGTACCAGCACCCCTGGAGAATCCCTCGCTGAGCATTCACGACCATGTTTCTACACTTCTGAGCGTGGGTGCTCAGGCCGCCCCGCGTATTCTGAGGGGGGGGGGGAGCAAAATTCCGCTCAAGACTAAAACTGCTCGGGGCAAACGGAGCAACAAGACCAAGGCGACCCCTGCCACGCTATCCGTGAATTTCTGCAATATCAGGGGACTTCACTCTAACCTAAACGCCGTCCACCTACCATCTCGAGACGGCGAGGCCGGCTCTACTCTTTCTGACCGAGACGCAGGTGTCCTCTCCGGCTAATGTCTATGTATCTCTCCTACCCGGGGTACAAACTGGAACACTCCTTTGTGCCTCAGGCTGAAGTTTGCGTTTACGTCAGAGAGGACATCTGTTCTTGACGCCTCGGCAGATTCGAAGGTTCGGACCTGTCCATCCTTTGGCTACGCGTAAACAGCGACGACCATCCGCGCGTCTACGGGTGCCTCTATAAGTCCCATAGCGGTAATGCCGAAACAGACTGACTCTTCGACCACGTCCAAATGGCTACAGATTCGTTGCTAGCAAATCCTCTCCGCAGAGATCGTGATCCTCGGCGACTTTAACGCCCATCACGCCGAATGGCTTGGTTCACGTTAAACCGATCATGCGGGGAGCTCTGTTCATGATGAAGTTTTGTTTTAGAATTTGGAAGATATGATAAGGATGAGTAAATAAAGAGTTAAGAACGAAAGAGAAAGCAATTAAATCAAAAGGAAATGGATAAGACGTAGTTAAGGTGAAGAAAAGAGAAAAAAAAATTAAGAGAGAAAGAGAACTTTTACATTGGGCGCCAAAATGTCGTAAAGCGACAGTTAAAAACTAAAGAACCTAACCTAACAACAACGAAACAACCAAAAAAAAATAATTTATTTAAAATTTTAAAAGATAGATACAGTTTTTATATAAAAAAAAAATATATGAAAATCATGATGGGTGACGTGAATTACAATAATTTAAAAAAAAATAACAAAGATAAATGAGTACTGAAACGGAGTATGCACAGGCTTTGCCTGTGGTAGGTGCGCAGCGTCTGATCTAGGCACACGCAGCGTCTGGAGTAGGGAGGAGTAGGCGCAGGTCTGGAGGGGAGCGTGACAAACACAACGCCCGGAGTAGGCACACACAGCGCTCGGAGTAGGCACACGCAGCGCCCGTACAGTAGCAGCGCACAGTGAACGAGTGAAGCCGGCCACAGTTGAGCGTGTACCTGCTGTACTGCCATATGTTAGAGGAGTCACTGACAAGATTGGCTACATCTTGAAGCGCGCTTCCATCAAAACATACTTCAAGCCGCTGAAGAAGATTGGTCAGTTTTTACCATCAGTCAAGTGTAATGTCCCTCTGCAAAATGCAGGAGTGTACAAGCTTGATTGTGAATGTGGTCTCTCCTACATAGGACAAACTAAAAGATCAATAAAAACTTGGCATATGGTCTGACACAACTGGTTACGTCGCCTACGCGGATTCCAGATGTGGAGGATCATGCACCTTCCCTGTTGGACCTTCTGCTGACCTCTCACCTGGACGGATATCAGATTTCCGTCGATGCCTCTTTAGGATCCTCGGACCATTGTCTTGTCCGGAGTGTGGTGCTACTCACGCTGAAATCGCAGTTGCACTCTGCAGGCTGCCGCCGTGTTTGGCACTTTAGGTCAGCCAATTGGGATGGGATGCGGTCTTTCTTTGCATCCTACCCTTGGGGGTGGGTTTGCTTCTCGCCGGACGATCCCAACGTTGTTGCGGATTCTGTCGCTGATGTGGTACTTCAGGGTATACGAGGGTGGATTGAAAAGTACTCGGCCTAACCAAGAAAATAAACACATACTAAATCAGTTATATTTTTATTTTTCTACATAATCACCATCAAGTTCAATACACTTTTGCCACCTCCCCTTCCAAGCATTTAGACCGTTGAAAAAAAATGATTCTTCCTTAGAGTCAAAATATGCGTCTACAGCTGCTTTGACCTTGTCGTTTGTCGAAAATCTTTGACCTCCCAAGTGCTTTTTTAGGTTAGGGAACAGAAAGAAGTCTGATGGTGCCAGATCAGGTGAATACGGCAGATGCGGTAACAGTTCAAAGCCACAGTTGTGAATTTCAGCCATTGACTGTACTGACGTTTGAACACGGGCGTTATCTTGATGAAACAGGACTTTTCTTCTGAGCATTCCTCGACGTTTTTCTTTTATTTCCTCTCGCAAACGACGTAGTAAGGTGCAGTAGTAATCAGAGTTTATAGTCTGACCCCTTTCAAGATAATCAATCATAATCACACCTTTCGAGTCCCAGAATACTGAAGCCATCACCTTATTTGCCGACAAAATCGACTTAGCCTTTTTAGGGGTGGTGAATCAGGTCTTCTCCACTGTTTTGATTGTTGTTTTGTTTCCGGTGTACAGTAATGAACCCATGTTTCGTCCATAGTAACAAAACGATTCAAAAAATCATCTGCATCGGCTTCAAATAACTCCAAACAGTCGCGTGAAATAGTCAATCGCGTCCGTTTTTGTTCAACTGAAAGCAGTCGCGGAACCCACCTCGCAGACACCTTGTGGAAGCCCAACTCGTTGACAATGATGTTTTGAGTTCGTTCATAAGAGATGCCTATAATCTCGGTTATCTCTCTAATTTTTAATCTGCGGTCTCCCATTATTAAATCAAGTACTTTTTTAATATTTTCGTCAGTAGTTGACGTCGAAGGCCTTCCAGAGCGGGGTTCATCTTTCACACTCTCTCTACCACGCTTAAATTCTGCTATCCATTTTTTGACGGATGAATATGACAGAGCACAATCGCCTAATGTACTGACCATGTCATCATGGATGGCTTTTGATGATAGCCCCTTCTTATGGAGGTACTTAATGACGGCACGCTGCTCGATTTGCTCCATTCGCGGAAATTATGTCCGATTACTTTGTTAATAAATTTATAAAATCACAACTAATTATCGCACACGTTTCGAACTTCACACAATGAACTAGTCTGAACTGAATTAAATAATGTGGGTAAATTTGATTTTTAGAATTGAATGGATCTGTGTTAGGCCGAGTACTTTTCAATCCACCCTCGTAGAACTTTTTATTCCTTCCTCTGTGGTGCCCATTGGAGGCAAATCTCAGCCATGGTTTGGTCACTCCTGTAAAATAGCATCATGCTATAAGCAGGAGTGCTACCAAGCCTGGGCTGACACATCAACGTCCCGCCATGTAAACACCAGCGCTCTAAAAAAGAAGTATAATTCTGTCTCTAGGTCCTTCAAAACAGTTATTGCCAAGGCAAAGTCAGAGCACATAGGCAGAATTGTCGAGAAACTAGTTCACCTTCCTTCTGGAACTCGTGCGTTCTGGTCTCTCGCCAAGGCTGTCCAGGGGAATTTCTGTCAGCCATCTCTTCCATCTCTGCACAGGGGGGACGACTCACTCGCCCATACCGCAAAGGAAAAAGCCGATCTGCTAGGCTCTTTCTTTGCGTCCAACTCGACTCTCGATGACGGTGCGAGTACGCCGCCGACCATCCCGCGGTGTGAGTACTCCATGCCGGAAGTGCAGTTCACACAGCACTCGGTTCGCAAAGTACTCCTCTCCTTGGACATCCACAAGTCGAGTGGGCCTGACGGAATCCCCCCAATTGTGCTAAGGACGTGTGCTCCAGAGTTGGCACCGGTTTTAACGCGTCTTTTCCGGTATTCCTACTCCCTAGGCGTAGTCCCAAAATCATTAAAGACGGCTGTTGTTCACCCGATCCCTAAAAAAGGCGACCGCTCAGACCCGTCCAACTACCGGCCTATCGCCATCACCTCCTTGTTCTCCAAAACAATGGAGTCTATTGTTAACTGCCAGCTCATAAGGTACCTTGAGGATCACCAGCTGATTAGTGATCGCCAATATGGTTTTCGCCGTGGTCGGTCAGCTGGTGGTCTTCTGGTCTACCTAACTCACAGATGGGCGGAGGCAGTAGAGTCCAAGGACGAGGCATTGGCCGTTAGTTTGGACATTGCGAAGGCCTTCGATCGGGTTTGGCACAAAGCGCTTCTTTCGAAGCTCCCTTCCAATGGGCTTCCCGAGAAATTGTGCGATTGGATCACCAGCTTTCTTGTAGATCGGAGCAGGTCGTTGTAGACGGTGCAAGCTCCGATTACAAGCCTATTAATGCCGGCGTTCCACAAGGCTGCGTGCTATCGCCAACGCTGTTTCTTCTGTATATTTATCAATGATATGTTGCAAACCCGTAACATTCATTGCTATGCAGATGACAGAACTGGTGATGCTCTTTACACCGGCCGTGCCAATATTTCTCGGTAAAACGTTTCCGAGTACCGGGACAAACTTGTGTCTGAAGTCGAGTCTTTGCTGAACAGAGTCTCAGATTGGGGCCGACAAAATTTAGTCCAGTTTAACCTCCAGAAGACACAAGTTGCCGCGTTAACCGCTAAAAAGAACCCCTTTGTCGTATCTCCTCAGTTTCAAGGCATTCCCCTTGTTGCCTCAGCCATTATCGGAATTCTCGGCGTCGACATATCGAGTGACGTGCAGTTTCGTGGTCACTTAGAAGAGAAGGCCAAATTGGCCTCTAAAAAGCTCGGCGTGCTCAGCAGAGTGGGACAGTATTTCATACGGCACACCGTCTGTAACTTTACAAGGCGCAGTTTCGGCCGCACATGGATTACTGTTCCCATCTCTGGGCTGGGGCTCCCCAGTACCAGCTCCTTCCACTTGACCGCATCCAGCGCAGAGCGGCTCGAATCGTCGACGACCGAGTGCTTTCCGATCGGCTCGATTCACTGGCGCTGCGAAGAGATGTTGCATCTCTTTGCGTTTTCTTTCGCATATACCATGGGGAGTGCTATGAGGAATTGTTCGAATTAATCACAGCCGCCAAATTTCGTGAACGCACTACGCGGCAAACGTCCCGATACCATCCACACCATCTGGATGCTTGGCGGTCCACCACTGTACGTTTCGAAGTTTACCACCGGCGATTTTTCCGGACCGATACGACCTGGGCCTTCAAGAATAAGCTTACTTCTTTCTAAAGAGCCGGCAACGCACCTGCAATTCCCCTGGTATTGCGATTGATCATGGGCGGCGGTATTCACTTAACATCAGGTGAGCCGCATGCTCGTTTGCCCCCTCTTCTATAAAAAAAAACATAAATTGTTAAATAAATAAATAAATAAACAAAGGCAGAATGCGGTTTACAGTGAATCACTTCTCTTTAAAGACGAAAAATGCAGGATATAGACAATTAATTTTTAGAGCTTGATTGGTAGCAAAAGATGTTGATTATATATTTTCATTTCAAATTTGGCAAAATCCTCTTTTGAAAAAAGTTGGAAAGGATCCACTGTACCGCACATATACCTACACTGTTTCTATATACTTGTGGGGTACTGTGGATCGTAGCAGGGCACAGTGAACCAACCATAGAATACTATAATATGTATGTATTATAGTATTCTATGGAACCAACGCATGAAATTACCATGATATTTTACCTGGGTAACAGAGAACTGTTGCAATGTGTTAAATACTATATTTGTTAATTTAGTGAATAGTTGTAGTCAACCTTGATATGCAATCATGTTTTTAGTAAATAAACTTTTAACACTGATGGTAATTATTGTATACAATGTAGTTATTAAAACACACAAAATTTATAACTTATATTGTATCAACATTCAACTTAATACGCTATCACCTGGCAATTTTAAAATCTAATGCATTTCTGTAATTAACATAACCTGTACGAAAAGCTAGTCTTTATTAAGAGAGCTTTTTAGATTGTTTGTATTGTAAATGTGCCTCAGCAAATAACTAAATAAATTACCTAACCTTTCTTTTTATTACTCTGCCCAATATGTAACAGAATTCATACACAAAGCCCGGTCAATTTAATTAATTTAAAAGTTTTTTCAGGTTGCCTATTCATATTGGGCATTATGAATAATGGCCGATTAATCACTTGGTCCATAACATATGCACTGAGGAGCTCAAAACATATTTTATTTCTTTTTATTATTCCTTTTCCGGCCGTGTAGTGGCGGTTGAGAATATCCACTACCCATACCTTCCCGTGGGTGTCGTAAGAGGCGACAGAGGGAGACAGGCAGGAGATGGGCAGCAGCATCTTCCTAATAACAACAATAATATAATAAAAAAACTGCGGTTGCCAACCCGCTCGCCAAGCGTGGCAACTATGGCAAATATCCCCCCATGAATAACGACGTAAACAAACGGCCCCCAGTCCCCAGCGGCCCCGCTATTCCTGGCTACGGTGGCGACCATGGTAAAAGCGGGGCAGGGGGTGCTAAGAATCTCCGGTGGAGGTTCGGTTGCCACCTACGACGACTCGAACTGGCAACATATAACGCATACACCCTGAGGACTGACGAGAAGATACTGGAGCTGGAAGAAGAGGTAGACAAGTTGCGCTGGCATATTATTGGATTATCCAAAGTCCGAAGAGAGTGGGAGGACACGGTAATCCTCGAGTCCGGCAACTTGTTCTATCACCGGGAGGGCGACCATCTGTCCCAAGGAGGTGTCGGATTTATCGTCCACAAGTCTCTCGTCGACAACATTGTAAAGATTGAGAGTGTGTCGAGGGTCGCGTACCTGATACTCAGAATCACCAAATGGTATTCGCTGAAGGTCATACAAGTTTACGCACCAACCTCGGCACATCCCGATGAGGAGGTGGAGGAAATGTATGAGGATATTTCCAGAGCCATGCATTCCTCCAAAACCCACTACACGGTGTTGATGGGAGACTTCAACGCAAAACTAGGAACAAGAGAAAGCGGTGAGCTGAAGTTAGGGAAATTTGGAGTAGGGCAACGGAACCGTAGGGACCAGCATCTGGCCGACTTTATGGAGAAAGAGGAACTCTTTATGATGAACTCTTTGTTCCAGAAGTGGCCCCACAGGAAGTGGACCTGGTCGAGCCCCGACGGTTCGACAAAAAATGAGATCGACTTCATTATGACGACCAGACGCCAACTGTTTAGTGATGTCTCAGTGATCGCAAGGGTGAAAACTGGCAGCGATCACCAAATGGTTAGAGGCACACTGATACTGAACTTTAAGTTGGAGAGGTCTCCTCTAATAAATTCAATGCTCCGTCCCCCGTGCTCTAAACCAGAATATCGAAACTTTTCAGCTCGAGTTAAGTAACCGCTTTCAGTGTCCAGAAGATTGCAATGCAGTGGACGATATGAATGACAAGCTCGTGGAGACTGTGCATGCGGTCGGTGCTAAGTTCTGCAAGACCCGCCGCAGAAGAACACGTAAACTCTCCGAACACACTCTTAATCTCATGGCTGTTAGACGGAAGATGAGGCTGCAATCGTCAACAAATTTGACAGCATACAGGCAACTGAACAGACAGATCTCCAAATGCATGCGGCGAGACTTGCGGAACTTCAATACTGCTCGTATTGAAGAAGCGATTGAGCGGAACCAGGGCTCCAAAGTCTTTGCCAGATATCTGTCTGCCAGTAAGAGCCAACAGTCAAAGCTGAAGACTGAGTGGCAGCATCGTTTCCGGGACACCTGAGATTCTGAGTGAGATTGAGAGGTTCTATGGGCAGCTGTACACATCATCGTTGGAGCCACACGCAAGTGTGAGTAACGATCCAAGAGCAAGTCTTATTCCGATGATATCCCGGACGTCAATCTGAGCGAGATTAGAATGGCTCTCCAGCACCTTAAAAACGGCAAGTCCTCGGGCGAGGATGGACTTAAAACGGAGCTTCTTCAAAAGCTCTTTAATTCCGTCCTATATGGCGACACTACTTCGGAGGCGTGGAGCAGAAGTGCGGTGACCTTGTTCTTCAAGAAAGGTGACTACGCTCTCTTGAAGAACTACAGACCGATTTCCCTTCTGAGCCGCGTCTACGTGCTGTTTTCGAGAATCATTACGAATCGTCTCGCACGCAGACTCGACGACTTCCAGCCTTCCAAACAAGCCGGTTTCCGAAAAGGCTTTAGTACAGACATAACTTTCGGCAAATTGTACAGAAGACCGAAGATGTGAAGAAAAAAAAAGATGTACTCTTCGGTCTTTTGGGCGGTGCTACAGTCTCTTCAGTGGTGCCAAAATGACTGTAGGTATATCGAAGTGCTGAAATGTTTATACAGTAGGGCTATGATGGCCATCCGAGTATAGAACCAAAGTACGAAACCTATCCAACTGCACAGAGTCTTTTCCGCTGCTCCTACTCCCAAGGCGTAGTCCAGAACTCTTGGAAGACAGCTTTGGTCCACCCAATCCTTAAAAAAGGCCTGTAGTACGACGGGTGTGAGCGGTCGTCACTCCCGTCGTACTACAGGCCTATCGCCATCACCTCCTTGTTCTCCCAAATAATGGTATCCATTGTAAACTGCCAGCTTATGTGGTACCTACCTTGAGGATCACTTGAGGATGACATAGCGAAGACCTTCGATCGGGTCTGGCACAAACAGCTACTTTCGAAGCTCCCTTCCTATGGGCTTCTGAGAAATTGTACGATTGGATCACTAGCTTTCTTGCTTATTGGAGTATCAAGGTCATAGTAGACGGTGCATGCTCTGATTACAAGCCTATTAACGCTGGTATTCCACAAGGCTGCGCGCTATCACCAACGCTGTTTCTTCTGCATATCAATGATGTGTTGCAAACTGATAACATTAATTTGTATGCAGATGACAGAAATGGTGATGCCTTATACACCGGCCGTGCCAATATTTAACGGGAAATTGTCGGCGAGTAACGGGACAAACTTGTGTCTGAAGTCGAGTCTTTGCTTAACAAAGTATCGGATTGGGGGCGATTAAATCTAGTCCAATTCAATCCCCAGAAGGCACAAGTTCAAGAAAAGAACCCCTATGTCGTATCTCCTCAGTTTGAAGGCACTCCCCTTGCTGCCTCCGCTAGCATCAGAATCCTCAGCGTCGACATATCGAATAGTGTGCAGTTTTGTGGTCACTTGGAGGGGAAGGCCAAATTGGCCTCTAAAAAGCTTGGTGTGCTCAGCAGAGCGAGACAATATTTCATGCCGGCGCATCCCTTTGTGTTTTCTAACGTATCTACCATGGGGAGTGTTCTGAGGAATTGTTCGGATTAATTCCAGCTGCCAAATCTCACGAACGCACATCGCGTCAAAATTCCCGATACCATCCTCACCATCTGGATGCTTGGCGGTCCACTACGTTACATTTGAGTAGAAGTTTTCTTCCTGGTACAACTTCTCTGTGGAATTGTTTACCACCGGCGACTTTTCCGAACCGATACGACTTAGGGACCTTCAAAAAAAGAGCTTACTCCTTTCTAAAAGGTCGGCAACGCACCTGCAATTTCCCTGGTGTTGCAGTTGTTCATGGGCGGCGGTAGTCACTTACCATCAGGTGAGCCGCATGCACGTTTGCAGCCACTTCTATAAAAAAAATGGCGAGTACATCACTATGCTCAATGACCTACTTTCTCCCAACGGATATGTCCTAAGATAAACATGGATAAAACGAAGATCATGTGTAACGTCCATGTCACGCATATGCAGGTAGTTGTTGGGAGCACTAAGCTCGAAGTTGTTGACGAGTATGTTTACCTGGGACATATATTACGACTAAGTAAGTCCAAATTCAGCCGAGAGGTCAATCGACGGATTCAACTCGGCTGGGCAACGTTCGGGAAATTACGACACTCTCGTCAGCTATACTTCTACTACTTTACTAAAACCTGAAAACGAGACTGTACAACCAGTGCGTGTTGCCAGTGATGACATATGGAACTGAGACGTCGTTCGGATAAATTTAGAAAAATGGTGAGTGTATAGAACCGGAGACCCTTTTTACTGGAAACGAGGCATTCCATCTTAGTGTTTGGGGGTGATAACGCATTTGCATTTTGATTCTTAATTGAGAATAGATGTAGATGTTTATGACGCACAGTGCATATAGGTGCCTACTATCAGATTTACTGTGTGATCGTTTATAACACTTATTATATAAAAAAATGCAAATAATTTCACGTACTTATATATGAAAGGCATAAATGAAAGAAATCGCCTTTGTACCATCAAATAGTTTATTTTATTTTAATCGGTCTATATTTACATGTCATTATACATTTATAAACACTTATGAGATAAATCACAGCTCTTGAGTTGCTACATCAACCATATAGTTACCAGAGCAATCTTATATCATTATGACATATCCGCTCTTTACAAGTGGACAATTATCTATAGCAGTAATGTAAAAGATGATCACTTTTAGTCTCTAACAATAAGACCAAAACAAACCGAACAAGTAAATATAGCAGTTAAACACACTAATATAAATAATAATTTATCGCACGTTAGTGTTTGCTTCACTGGGACCTCCCCTACCCTTTCAGTAACGAGAGATCCCTGCATAGCAGTTGTCAACATTAAAGTGCTTAATTTATTATTGCTTATTATTTATTATTATGCTATTTAATGTTAAATAATGTCTCTACGAGGCTTACATAAGTATAATTCACTTTATTTTATTATTTAGAGATGCTACTCTTATACTAGACGTCAACGCTCATTCGCAATTCTAAAGCGCAATAATGAATGTCAATCATGACATTGGACTTAATGATGCCAAAACATTGACACTTTCGATATTTTTTTGTTAAATCAAATGTATAGATAAAGTTATGAAAAGAAATATTTAAAGGTGTAATATCATAATATTTATAATGTCATCCAGACCGAATTTCGCTCTTAACGAAGACCCATTACGTGCCTAAGATTAAAATTCACGAGTGTGCACTCTTTACTCTACTCTATCAATCATGTTATTGGTTTATGTAATAAATCTGAGTAAACAGGCCCTGCCAAAAGTGTTAATAGCTACAACTATCGATACGGCACGTGTACAACTCTAGTGCGTATACGATTTAAAAATAGTTTTGGCGGTATTTGGGTATGGAATTATGGTTCGCGGTGGATTTTTATGCGAAATATGGTGCGATTTTGTGTACTGAGTGTCTGCGCGTGCGAAGTATTAAGCCGGGTTGACACGATAAGAGTTGGCTCGGACCGAGTGCACTCGGATTACTACTCGGACGTTACTCGTATCGTGTAAACATGTAATCCGAGCGTACTCGGACGCCGGCATCTAATCCGAGTGGAATCGGATGATGCTCTATTTTCCCCTTTACTCGGATCTCAGCTCGGATCATTTTAATTAAAAATGGCGGCGTCAAGGAAAAAGTGGACGGAACGTGATACTGTAAGGTTCGTGGAACTGTATGAAGAAGAACAAGTGTTGTGGAACGTGCGACTCAAAGACTATAAAAACAAAGATGCCCGGAATCCCCGCTATTCAGCGCATTATACATAACCTCAATATGGAGGTTACAATTCAAGAGGTGAACACGAAAATAAATAACATTCGTAGCACATACACCCAGGAAAAAGTAAAAATTAATGATGTGTATGTTCCTTCGTCGGCTTGGTACGAAATCGCCGACAGATTTTTATCTGGGCTCATAAAAAGCAGGAAAACTTATCAGAATGTGGTAAGTTTATTTATTATAATAAAACAATAAACATTTGTATTTAATTTATTAGCTGTTTTATAATGTCACGTTAAAATATAAGAACACAGATATTCTTAAAATATTCTGCTACTTTGCCATGGGACGGAGCCTTCTCCAATGAAATAATTTTTATAATTTATTCTTCTTTGCTCTGCCAACCGAGATGGGTGATTACTACCTTGATTCACAACATGTGCAATATAATTTGAACTAGGTTCCTGTCTCCACGAACCAGGTCTGTCATCTGTGTCCATTGTTCCCACTGGTGCATAATAGTGCATGGCTGTCTTCATGAGCCAGTTGTGAAGTGCACAAGTTGCTTTGACAATTTTGTCAACTTTGTCTGGACACAAATATATTGGAGTCCGGTATATTCTAAATTTTGACACCATAATGCCAAATGCATTTTCTACTATTCTTCTGGCACGAGAAAGACGGTAGTTAAAAGTTTTCTCTTCGGCTGTCAATATTAATCATCGAGAATATGGTTTCATCAAATACTGTTTCAGTGGAAAAGCATCGTCTCCTAAAATGACACCCCAAGAAGGAAAATTCAGAGTACCATCTTCCAATTTCTCTTTAAGTATTGAATTACTGAATATTGAAGCATCGTTTAATCTACCCTGGCTGCCCACATCAATATATGTAAAAAAAAGTAGTTGCCGTCTACCAGAGCCAAAAGTACAGTACTAAAGTAACCTTTATAATTAAAAAAGTCACTTCCACTGTCGCTTGGTTGTTGTATATTGACGTGCTTGCCATCTAAGGCTCCACAACATCCAGGAAAATTCCAACGATTATCAAACACTCTCGAAATATTTGTCCATTCTTCAGTTGTCTTTGGGATCTTAAAAAAACAAGGCATATTTTTAATTTTCTATTATTGTTTTGTTACAGGAGAATTCAGATAACAGCTCTTCAGATCCAGACGTTCCAGCCGCACCTTCACCAGACATTCCAGCCGCACCTTCACCAGACATTCCAGCCGCACCTTCACCAGAAATTCCAGCCACACCTTCACCAGACATTCCAATCGCCCCTTCACCAGACATTCCCATCGCCCCTTCACCAGACATTCCCATCGCCCCTTCACCAGATATTCTCGCCGAACCTTCATTGGACATACCAGGACCTCTTCCGCCACCGGCAGATCATCAAACGCCATCATCTTCACAGCAGTTAAATAGTGAAATATTCATTGAATAAAATCATTAAGTGAAATATTCGTTAAGCCACAAAATACTATCAAGAAGAAGCGACCACTTAAACGACCATTAGTACCTCAACATATCGAGAAGTCTATTGAAACAATAATATCAAGGACCAAGTACTGTGTCATAAAGAAATATAAGATGAATTCTCCCTTTTCGCTAAAAATATCGCCAGCCATTTCCGACAATTGCCCCTAATAGATGCTCTAGATGTTCAATCTGAAATAATAGAAATAGTAAAGCGGAAAAGAATAAATCGAATGCAATTGGAAAACAATTCTACGACATCGAATGAATATACATTTGAAATACCAGAACATTTATTCAATAATCTTGAATCTCAGATTCATATTCAACGTGACGCAACAAGGCAAGAATCATCACAACTTGTTGTAGTAAATGATGCATTACAAGAGGAAGGCATAGAAGTTCAGATCCAACGTGATGCAACAAGCCAAGAAACATCACCAGAATTTGTAGTAGATGATCAATTACAAGAAGCAATTCGAAGCATTGGTGGGATTAAAAAAAATGAGAATTATCGCTATTTTGCTAAACAATAATTAAGATTACTTTAACTGTAAGTAGATTGATATTAAATAAAAATTTCACTATGATTTCTTGTTACTGACCTTTATGTACTCCTCCAACCCTTCATATATTGCATCTAGCACTTCTGGCAGAAACTTGGATATGGTGCTCTTTGGAACTCGAAAAGAACTTTCTAAACTTGGAAAACTATCTCCAGTTGCTAAATAGCGCATAGCTATTTGTAGCTTTGTTTTTACGTGGTAGAGCCATGCTGCAGTTATATTAGTAGTATAGTTGTAGCACGAATGGGTCGGCTCGACCGGGGAAGGACCACGCTCTCACAGAATACCAGCGTGAAATAGTAGCTTAATGCTGCTGTGTTTCGTATGGTGAGTGCAGAAAACCGGAGACCCTTTTTACTGGAAACGAGGCATTCCATCTTAGTCCTCACGGGTGACAACGCATCTGCATTTTGATTCGTAATCGAGGATGGATGTAGATGTCTATGGGCCACAGCAACCACTTACCATCAGGTGGACTGTGTGCTCGTTTGTCACCCTATCCTATAAAAAAAAGGTAGAGCAGCTCTCACGACTGTATCAGCTCTCTGTATTTTCGACGTTACTTTTTGTAACAGATAGTCAAATCGTTCACCGTTCAGCCTCAAATGATTCTTGTAAGTGGCCTTGTCTTCCATGCGTACTTCTCGGAGAAAATTATCTGATGCTCCCAGCTTTTCACGCCTTAATATCCATTCGCGGGTCCAAATCGATCTCTTCTTGCGTTCCTTCTTTCTTCTTACATTGCTTGTTTCTTTGCTTATATGGTTCAACTCTTTTATTAGTATATCTGCAACAACTGCGACACCTTGCAACAGCAGATCAGTCTGTTCCATGTTGAGAAGATCAGTGTGTTCCGTGAGTTGTCAACACAAACTTGAAATACTTTGACAAAATTGAATGAACTTTGATAAGAGTACACTATGATCGTGTAAACCACTATAGGAGTACACTCGTATGACGCTGACTCGTAAGAGTGTACTCTGACGTCACTCGGTCCGAGCTAACTGTTATCGTGTCAATCCGGCATTAGTGGACACGATGAAACAAGTTCTACGATGGTGAATTAAGCTTCAAATTATTTTGTGCGCTTAGGCGCCTTGAGAACTTGGCATACTGTCGTCATTGACTATCTGCTGACTTGAAGCTCCTGTCAAAATCTCTCAAAATAATCACAATGTGACACTACAATATTATATTGTGAAGAAAATTTTTAACATATTACTTATATTAAATAAAAATATTGCAACGTTTGAAGTACTGTTTTTGGTTGAAGGTTTTGTAGCCAATACCAAAATAAATGGAAGAGGAAAAACGTTTTAAAATTGCCATGTGCGTTGACGTTTAGGCATATTTTTTATATCTACCTTTAATATCATGTAAAACATTACATATAGGCCGTGTTCCGATACACACTGTGAGCACTGTAAGGTGTGCCGGCAATTTAGTACGCTGCAATCCTTTATGCTTCAGGTTACTGTTTAAAACGGAATGCAGTCCAGTATACCACTGTCATCCCCATTTTTCGACACTCTTTTGAAATGAAAATGTTTTTCATGTCACGTTTTCTGTGCAACAAGAAAAAATATTATTTGTCCGAGTTTATTTGAATAATAATATTAATTTATAGTAATAACACATTCGTAGAAGCTGTTAAATCTCTTGGCGCTATTATGTTTTTTTTTTATCACGTGGTCAAAGTACTGACAGCACCTTACCTCGAAAGCACCAGTGCTGACAGTACAAAAATGGCAGCGATTTATGACGTCATATATTTCCATAGGGTACGTCGGCAGTATACTGGCAATCCATAACGGAACGAATTTTTCACCAGTGCTCGCAGTGTATATCGGAACACACCCATTATGTTGATTTTTTTAAACCGACACATAGTGAGCAAGTTTTGAAATGAATTATCAATCATTATATAAATATATAATTTAGTTATTAACAAAATTGTAACGGAACACTCTATTTATAAAATTTTTACTGATTTAAGTAATGAGACAACTTAGACATTAAAACATTTAAATATTTTTAAAATATAAAATTATAATACTATGTTACATATTGTATGGTTGGGCGGAAAGCCATCATTGATACAAATTAAAAATATACTATTTATATTTAAATAATACTAAGTGTTATGGATTTTATCGCGTATATTAACTTTTAAAATAATACACGCGATAAAATCTGTACATACTAGTATTATTTAAATGTGTAGTGTTCGCGTAAATATAAAAAATATTATTTATAACTATAACAGAATAAAAAATATTAAATTATTCCAAAATAGTCAATTCAATTTTATGAAATAAAAATAAGAGTAATAATGATTGAAGTTTGCATAATGATTTGTGTTTACCCGAACACTACACATTTAAATCAAACTAGTTTTTGCGGATTATATCGCGAATATTAACTTATTTAAACGTCGGCGATATAAAATAAGTCAATATACCTACGCGGTATAATCCTTAAAAACTGGTTTTATTTAGATTGAAGTTTATTTCAATGTTGACTACAAGATGTTCTGCTGTAAGTAAATAAATTAATTTTATTAAATAAAAGCATTCATTTAATTTTTTGTACAATATAAATAAATAGCATAATGTATAATATAGTAAATATACAACTTTTTTTAATTGGAGCAAATATTCTATACTTAGATACTTCATGTTTAGAACGCTTAGCTTAGATGAAAACTTGTCGACCAAATTGACGATATATTGAAAGTGGGCCAGATTAAGAGTACCCTTAATCTACGAGCATGTATGCGTAGGTACATGAATTAGGCATGTTGATCTAAATCGATTAATCGATTATCTGGAGTAAAATAATCGATTTTTAGATTGATTCAGCACCAAATCGGTTCAATGAATCGATTCAATAACCTCTTGAATCGAACTGATTCATCTGATTCAAGAACTAGCAATAAAGTTTCTAAACTAGCTCGGGTAAGAAGTAAGATATCGCACTTTTTTAATTTTTTGCTGTTGGCGGGTGCAAAAACAACCAGTCGTACTTGGTTGATAATTTGAACGCAATATATATTTGAATAAAATAAATATTTATGAACGCATCCGAATATATCGGAAAGTTGTTGTTCATTTCCAAAATTCTACTTCTAATCTTACCTGCGGAATGTGGGTCTAACTTAATCTGTGCTGTGAACAAAGACTACAATATATATTATCATATTATAGTTGTGACCCTGTGAATTTATTACTTTAATTATTATCAAAAATATACACACAAAAATATAAGTAAATATAAATACCTAGATACTGTAAATAAATATTAAATTTTGAAGTTTATAGGGGTTTGTAATAACGAAATAACCAGTATTGTTTTCGTGTAGCATTCATTTTACTTTGATAAATAATGAGTTATTAGATTGAAACCGATTTATGGAGAAATATACGTAGCAATTTTTACTTTCATTAAAATATTTTTGTCCTTTTTAGCCTAAAATGTCAACTAAAAGTGATACATGGAATCACTTTGTAGAAAAGGGATCGAATGGCGTATGCAAGTATTGTCATATCGAAGTAAAAACATGCGGAAATACAACAAATTTACGCAACCATTTATTACGATGTATTAAGTCTGTCTAAACTCTAAAAAATTTAACTATTTGTAGGTTTTACGATTCGCCTATTAAGACAGGCAAAGGTCTGAAACCATACAGAATTTTAACAACAACAAACAAAGATGGCTACATATACGTTGTGAACTAAGATGGAACGCCCTACAGCCTGTAATTATACATAAAACAAAAGGTAAATGGAATTATAAAAGTTCAATTTAAGAAAAATCGCAATTCTGGAAACAATGTTTGGAAATGTCGCGATTAAATGAAAATCGATCTTTTAATACTCGATTTAATCGATAATCGATTCTAGTATGCTCAATTCGAATCGATTACAAGATCGATTTTTTAAGATTGAATCGACATGCCTAACATGAATGTAAAGGGGGGCGAGAGGTGTGTCAAGATCGTGCCAAATGGAAGTCTGTAGTCTCTTCCTACTTCTCTGGGTGACAGGCGCGTGTGTTTATGTATTCTGATAGAGGTTGTTCTCGTTAAGAAGCAAAGTGTCACGGCCCATATAAGATTTTTAAAAAATGTCCTTCCAAATGATAGGTTTCTTGAAGAAGACACTCGTTTGACGAGAGAAGTTGTATTACCATTACGTGGGATAATGTTTTTTTATAATTTAAATGAATATTTTAATACCAAATAATTTAAATTAAGTTTTGTTTTTTAATTATTGCATACCCGATATGGGTCAACCATGTAGCAATGTCACCCGGAAATTGTACATACACAGTTTATTGGCAATAAAAATATTCTGATTCTGGGAATATTGTTAAAATACTCCCACGGTTGACTTCCAACGTCTCTGCTTGCTCTTCCATTTAAGTCGGTGTTAGTGAAATTTACAATAATTGTAATGAAAACTAATTGAAACTAAGTGTTATTGCTATGATCTGGTTGAAAACTACTAGATGTCTAATAAAAATGTATATTCGATTCTTAACCTCTCAAACGCCAAGCGTCCAAATTTTACCGCTTCGATATTCCATCAAAATTCAAGAGGTCAAATTTGACCGTACCCACCCACAGCACTTTAACCCGTAAATACTTATTTTTAGAGACTACTTTTCTATGTATAAGTTTGGCATCATAGAATCAATATGAAATTTTCTATCCTTTAGTGGAATAAAAAAACAGTTAGTCTATGGATATTAATTTATATTCTACGTTCATTACGTACGCCATTTTCATTCGGATGTTGTTATGTTGATTTTTGGATTTTTCTAGTGTTTTACTCTAGTGTTTTATTATAAAATTGTTTTACATAAATAATTTCGAGTAATATATAGAAATAATTGTGATTTTCACGCTGCCGACATCCGCTTGATATGTTTTTTTTTGTTATCAAAATACAATAAAATCTTTTTGTAGTGAAGTAAAACCTGACTTGCGTTTAGACCACGGGATAGAGAATTTTGTATAGATTTTATAATATCAAACGTCTTCATAGAAAAGTAGTCTATAAATATAAGTTTTAATGGTTTTAAGTGCGGCGTGGGTGGGTGCGGTCGCATGCGACCGCTCGGGATTTGCCAGGCGCATGCGACTGCATGGGAATTTTATGGGGATTAAAAGGTTAACTGAATTGTATAACAATCGCTAATTCGAAGTTAGTGAAAGGTGAAGACATAAAACTATGCATAAATAGAACAAAAATTAGAGCACTAATTAAATCGTATTTCAACTATATATTAGGTATAATTAGGATAATACTTTTTTGGTTGTAAATTATATTTTATTGCTTGGTCATTGATAGCGAGTCAAAGTGGTGTGTTGAATGAGGACCGGCATAAGAACTTGTCGGACATAAAATAAACATATCATGGAGACAAGTGAGGATGTTTCGAGCCAGCCGCCGCCGATGATGGCGTGTCGGTGAAGGAAGTAACTCTCCCATCGCATGGCTATATTTAAGATTTAGTGAGAAGGTTGTAGCTCAATTTATTTCAAGTGATAGCGTTGTGAAAGTGAAGGAGTAGCTTTAACTTTGTACAGCTGTAAAATATAAATAACTTATAACACACTGTACTGTGGTTACCTCTAGTAATTAAAATTGTGTGACAATTATGTACGTTCAGGAAATATGAATTATTGAATAGTAAATTCAAAATTAAAATAGTGTCATGATGTTAACTTATACTGGGCTAAGAAGAAACGAAGGGACTCGTTTATGAAAGATGGCCGACTTTTGTTCATAGATCGAACCATAAACAATAATTAAAAAAGCTGAAGGTACTCCGGATTAACATTGACATCGGGACGTCAGTCATCTCAGTCTCCCGTGACCATGGGTGCTGGAAAACACCCGAAACGTCGGGAATTAAAAATCATTAAAATTAAACAAGATAAAATCCGTAAAAGTAGTTTTAATCAATGTGTAATATTCGTGTAAATATAAGAAATCGTCAGTGTGTTTTAATTGTTAATTTTTTTTATATGATACATAACTGCAGCATGGCTCTACCACGTAAAAAGATAAGAGAAATACTTTTCATCTCAAGGAGAGTAACCATGTAAACTTATGTTATTGGATCAGGGAAGTAACAAATGAATATGACATTGAAGATGTTATAATCAATGTTGGGCTGAACAGCGATTGTGAATACGATAGTTGTTCCGATTCTAACCACGATTACGAAGATGACGATGGGAAGTCCGGAATCAAAGTGTTCTCAAATATTCTGGTGAAGGTTAAAGTAGCAGAATATAATTTTCAAAGAATACTATGTGTAAAAATAAATGTCTATAGAGTTTCTTGCATGTCTGTCCTATTAGAAATATTTTTGCTGTTATTTAAATTAATATAAACTTACTTTAGGAAATATATTGTTTTATTTAATAGTTTTCATGAATAATTTACTAATTTAAACTTATTAATAATTCAATTTTATGTAGGCGAAGTCGGGGCGGATTGCTTGTAATAAATGTTATTTTAAAATCAATGTGTTTAGTTAAGTAAGTATAACTCAAATATTTTATTATTGATACGAAATCTGTAACCAAACTAAATACTAACAAAATAATAACGATATAACGTTATTATTCGTTATTTGTATCGTGCATATTGACTCGATGAGTCGTCATTTCATTTCTAATCCCATTTTAGTCTGTTCGGGTTATACATTACATTTTTGTGAAAGTTTTTATTCATTATGAAGATGATCTAATGGTATGTAAATACATGGTTAAATTTATAAAAAATAATGTTAATATAGCGTTGTCGTGGTTAAATAAAGTATGTACAAAATGTCTGATCATAAATAATAATGCATGTTTTAAAAAATTGATATAGTTTTTGTTATTAAAATAAGTGAACGTGTATGTGCGTTGTGTAGTTTTTAAAATATAATTTAAAGAAATAAGACTGTTTTTTTGAGTTTTATTATAAAGTGTTTATTGTATGTACATTGTGGTTCATGTGAATCATAAATTTGAAACGCATTTGCTTACAAATAAGTGTATTTTTTTAGTAAAAAAGTATATTTTTTTGGTGTCAGTATTTAGTGTAATATTGCTCGTCAATTAGTATACATAGTTTTTAGTTAGGTTTGAAGTGTATTGAGTGATATTGTGTGATCGTCGGTAAGGGAGGTTGACGTGCTTGATGATTATGGTAGCTTGGCAGCGTGCGCTGTACATGGGTTAGCTTGAGCGTGATGCTGTCGGTGTATGCTAGAGCAGCTTCTCGTGCTTGTGGGCGGCGGGTGGAGCGGGCGGGGCGGTCAGGGCGGGCGGCTTGCGGCCGAGTGCGCGTGCGCCCAGGTAGCCGAGCGCGGCGCCGGCCAGCGCGGCGGCTGCGCCCACCTTGGCGCCGGCCAGCAGCCCCAGCGGCCCGCCGCACGCCGCGCCCGCGCACGCGCCCACCAGCGCACCCGCGCTCGCGCTCAATCTGAAGTAGAGGTTTCGCTTGTTAACTGCAGGTGACCGGAAGCCCCCCCCCCCCTGAACATAGTAGCGAAATCAAATAAAATATTACCCCAGGAAAGCACCAACGCCCCTGGTGACTACGTCACCCTCACTGAGCATCCACGACAAAGCTATCCTACTCTTTCTGAACGTAAGCGCTCAGGTTACCCTGCGTATTCTAGGGAGGGAGGAGAGGGGACTAAATTCCGCTCGTGACTAAAACTGCTCGGGGCATGCAAAGCAATAACAAGGCGACCCGATCACGCTATCCGTAATTTTTTGCAACATCGGGGGACTTCATTCCAACCTAAACGCTGTCCACTACCGTCTAGAGACGGCGAAGTCGGCCTTGCTCTTTTTAACTGAGACTCAAGTGTCCTGTCCAAAACTGTTAGACGTGCGGCACGCAGCGCGACGCGCCTTGCGTCTGAGGTGACCGAGAAAAATAACAATACGAGACGAACGGTTTGAACAGGTGCCACGTTAGCGCGACTGGCGCGCGGCTCCAGCGACCGCGACCGGCGGAGGACGTGTTCGCGCTTTTTCGGAATATTTACGGAAAATTTTAGCGAAATAATGTCAGTCTGCAATGTTTTGTGGGTTTTGACGTATTTCGTCATACAGTCAACGATATTCACCAAACTGATGACTGATTTATTTTAAATTATGAACTTATTTATGTTGCAGAAGTGAATGGCAGAATCGGAAAGGGACGTCCTAGGCAAAAATTTATCGACCAAATCAACGATTTATTGAAAACGGGCCAAATTAGGAGTACCCTTAACCGACGAGCATGTATGCGTAGGTGTATGGATGTGAAGGAGGCAAGAGAGGTGTGTCAGGATCGTGCCAAATGGAAATCTGTAGTCTCTGCCTAGCCTTCTGGAAGACAGGGCTGAGAGTTTATGTTATGTTATGTCTTATTTTAATTTGCGTTATATCTTGTGCAAACAACTACTCAGTTGATGAAAGTGCCAATTTATAAAATCTCATTTTTAAACCCGCGCAAAAATAGCAAGAAGCAACCGCATGTAACGCAGGCGCCTCAACGTGGCGCGCTGCGGCGGCCAGGCGCAGCGCCTTCACGCCTCCCACCTCCGCAGGTCACCTCCTCTTCCCGCAGCCGCTCCAGCGCGGCAAACGCCTTAGGCTCTCTCTTTACGTCCAACTTGACTCGAAAACGGAGAGCACACGGCCGACCATCCCGCGGTGAGTGCTCCATGCCGGATATAGGATTTACACAGCGCTCGGTTCGCAAAGCACCCTGGACGTCAGCAAGTCAATTGGGACTCCATCAGTCTCTTCCATTGTACTGAAAACATGTGCTCCGAAGTTTGCACCGGATTTAACGCGTCTTTTCCGGTACTCCTACTCCCAAAGCCATGACCCGTCGAACTACAGGCCTATCGCCATCACCTCCTTGTTCTCCAAAATAATGGAGTCCTTATAAACTACCAGTTCATGATAAGTAAAGCACGCACTTCAGTGTTATAAAAACCATAAAAGTTATAAAGTAAATATAAAGTAAGTTATTGAAACCTGCCACAGTTTCTCAAATCATTCCGGGTTGACCACCTCTCACTGCTGAGAGGGTTTTAGAGCAAGGAATTGTCCGCCGCACTGCCCCAATGCGTGTTTTAATAAAATATTTTTTTTTTATATTTCAGGCAAGCTGGTTTCCTCAAGATGTTTTCTTTTACCGCCGATCACATGGCAAATGAGCACTTGAAATTATAACTAACAATTTCATTGGGATCGCGCGAGTTGCTCACGTACTGTGAAATTTACAGCGAGCCGCGAGCGCATAGGCCCTGAGCTACAGTACCACGGCTCCTCATATGGCATGTAAACAAGGTTGAATAATTAAAATCAACAAATGTGTGAGTAACGGTGGACTTACCTCTCCGCGACGGACAGACTGCGTCTCGCTTCTTGCACGTTGTCCGCGGCTACTTCGATGCTTTCGCTCGCTGTCGTCACCTAAACAATACATTTTAAGGAAACTGTTAAAGTCTAAAAAAATTACTTTTGATAAATGTAAAAATCAACTTCAAGAAACCAAAAAAATAAATAAATTGCACATTATAGCTTTCGTAGTTTAACTATAATTATATACCCGCGTGTTACAACGGTACCGGCCCGATCGCCACTAGCTCACACAATATATTTTTTTATAGGATAGGGTGACAAACGAGCACACAGTCCACCTGATGGTAAGTGGTTGCTGTGGCCCATAGACATCTACATCTATCCTCGATTACAAAACAAAATGCAGATGCGTTGTCACCCCTGAGGACTAAGATGGAATGCCTCGTTTCCAGTAAAAAGGGTCCTCGGTTCTCTACACTCACCATACGAAACACAGCAGCATTAAGCTACTATTTCACGCTGGTATTCTGTGAGAGCGTGGTCCTTCCCCGGTCGAGCCGACCCATTCGTGCTACAACTATACTTCTAATATAACTGCAGCATGGCTCTACCACTTATAAATTCAGTTACATAGATAATAGTCGGTTTTAAGGCACAAAAGCAGAAGAAACAAACTTCCAACTTCAGAAGCTATTATACTTTAAGTCATTTAGGTGATTTTTTTTTACTTTTTGGAAGTTGGCTTTTACTTTTATCGAGTTATTTTTTTAAATTAAAATTGGTTCAGACTTGATGCAGATATCGCGTAATATGCATATAAAATAGAGTCAAATTCATACAGTCAAATTAACGAATATACGTACTTACAATACGCTACACTACACTACTTCAGTTACAACCTTATTACTGTTGGAAATGTTTTAGAAACGTTTTGCGATCTGGTGGTGGTGTAAGGGAATCCGTCACCTTTCATTCCGTGGGTGACGTAAGAGGCGAGTTTGGTAAATGCCAAATCAACAAACTAATCTGATGCTTTCAATAGATGGCGGTATAACTGTGACGTTTACGCTAAGCGTAACATACCTAAGCAACGGGAAACAAAGGTATATCAAGTCTAATCTGCGATTGTCAATATATTTGTTAAGTTTCACGATTCCAGGCAAATCCTTCGTAAAAATGGAAAAGCTCATATCTATAAAGTTAAAGATAAAGATAAAGGTAAAAGATTGTGTTATGTCGGACCCGCAACCACTAAGAGCTCGTAGTACCGTCAGCCACACACACGTATAGCCCCAGCAGCACTGACTGCTCTTTGGCGGTCTCTCCTCAAGAGAGCATAAAACCTGCCTTTACTCTTCCCCCCTCCATCTCGAGAAAACTTAAGTTATCACCTGCTGTCTCTGTAGCACAGCAGCATCCTGCATGAGACGCCAGCTCTCGTGCAGCGCGTGCACTTCAGCCTGCAGCTCGCACCAGCCACGCAGCACTTCTTCACGCTCCTTCAACTGCAACTCCTGTATTTTCATTTTATAATTTCACCAAAAATAAATAGCGCGACCCATACGAATTATAATTTAGGGGTGTATAGATGTACATATACACATGGCATTTATGACAGTGATTTTTTAATCATTACTAAACTGATTTTAGTGTAAAGGGATTTTGTTGTTTAGATAACTTACTAAATTCAATCTTGTGAAAAAATGTTATTCACATCTGAACTAACTGATATGTGCATCGGTAAAACGGGGTATTTGACAATACTTTATAGCTCTTACTCCCCGGCCAATACGTTTTAGTACCACTCTTAACCCACATACAATTTGCGAATAAATTTTTTTTTCTATAGGATAGAGTGACAAACGAGCACACAGTCCACCTGATGGTAAGTGGTTGCTGCGGATCATAGACATCTAAGTACATTTATCCTCGATTACGAATCAAAATGCAGATGCGTTGTCACCCGTGAGCATTAAGATGGAATGCATCGTTTCCAGTAAAAAGGGTCTCCGGTTCTCTACACTCACCATACAATAATTGAAAAGTATTTGACGCCGGTATCCTATGAGAGCGTGGTCCTTCCCCGGTCGAGCCGACCCATTCGTGCTACAACTATACTACAAATATAACTGCAGCATGGCTCTTACGTATAAAATTTATTTAAATTTAATTTGATTTTTTTAAGGTCGTGTATTCTGAAGTAAAGATATTATTTCTGTATATGAATATTGTTTATAATAATACACCTGAACTACAGTGTTTTTGTTACATGTTGTATTTACGTAATATACAATATATTAAAGATGTTAAATTAAAATTATAAGCTAAAAAATGACGTATCCTTCCTAGTTTGAAGAGCACCTCCTGCCTCAATTACGTACACTATCCCCGTCACCACTACTCCCAGTGTATGTGTTTCGCCTCTAAACGAGGCACCATAAGCTGAAATAGACTCGGCGATGGCTGACCGCTAAGCTATAGCGGTGTTGGGATTAGTGGTGACGGGGATAGTGCAATTGAGGGAGGCCGGGAGGTGCTCTTCAAACTAGGTAAGACTAAGACATATCATTTTTATATTTTAAGCATTATAACAAGTAACGTAAAGTAACAGCACATAATATTATAATAACCAACATCTGGTAAAGACTACTGGCCTGTAGTTTCTGAGAGTGTCATGTACTAATTAGTCCGCCGCGTCGCTCCATTGCTTGTTACTTCACATATCTTCGAAAATTTTATCACGAACTCGGTGTTAAAATCATCGTGAGAAAACTTGCATGCCTGAGTAGTAAAACATTCTGCAAGAACACCGCATCATCATTGTCACCACAGCCCAGCACAAGTCCTCCCTTCCCGCAAGGAATGCCACTACGAACGGCCCCGGGCCAGATGCATTCACCGATTTCCTGTATCTTTTAACAGATCGTCACTCCACATAGTGCCCGGCCGCCTTAAGCTTTTTTTTATAACATAGGATGACAAACGGTCACACAGTCCACCTGATGGTAAGTGGATGCTGCGGCCCATAGACAACATCCATCCCCGATTACAAATCAAAATGCAGATGCGTTGTTACCCCTGAGGACTGAGATGGAATGCCTCATTTTTAGTAAAAGGGTCTCCAGTTCTCTACACTCAACATACGAAACACAGCAGCATTACGCTGCTATTTTACGCTTTAATTCTGTGAGAGCACGGTCCTGCCCCGGTCGAGCCGATCCATTCGTGCTACAACTATAATATGGCTGCAGCGTGGCTCTACCACGTAAAAACTGCTTCCGGTACGAGGTTATTATTAAATAATTTTCCCATTGCTTGTCGGTTCTTTGAGGTATATGACTGACCACTCAACTTACTGATCCCATAGGCTATGTAGGTTACGTTGGTTCTACTTCGTATATACTCAATACGAAGTATATCACACAGAAAAACTCTGAGTATAGCCTTCTCCTTAGCTCTTTGATATTTTTTTTATAGAAGAGCAGGCAAATCAGCGTACGGGTCACTTTGATGGTAAGTGATCACCGTCGCCCATAAACACTTGCAACATTAGGGGGAAGCGCAGGAGCATTGCCGGACTTTTAGAAAGGAATAGGCTCTTTTCTTGAAGGTCCCTAAGTCGTGAACCAAGTCTCAGATCCATATGTCATCATTGGCAACCACTGCCAAGCCTGTGAGTAAAGCACGCACGAGGCGGCGCACCTGGTCGTCGTGCTGCAGCTGCAGCTGCGGCGCGTGCGCCACCACGCCCACCGACTCCGTGGACACCGCGCTGCCGCACGCCGCCTCCCCCGCTCCCTCCCCACCTGTACTCGTAAGTAAAGCACGCACGAGGTGGCGCACCTGGTCGTCGTGCTGCAGCTGCAGCTGCGGCGCGTGCGCCACCACGCCCACCGACTCCGTGGACACCGCGCTGCCGCACGCCGCCCCCCCTCCTCCCACCTGTACTCGTAAGTAAAGCACGCACGAGGCGGCGCACCTGGTCGTCGTGCTGCAGCTGCAGCTGCGGCGCGTGCGCCACCACGCCCACCGACTCCGTGGACACCGCGCTGCCGCACGCCGCCTCCCCCCGCTCCCTCCCCACCTGTACTCGTAAGTAAAGCACGCACGAGGTGGCGCACCTGGTCGTCGTGCTGCAGCTGCAGCTGCGGCGCGTGCGCCACCACGCCCACCGACTCCGTGGACACCGCGCTGCCGCACGCCGCCTCCCCCGCTCCCTCCCCACCTGTACTCGTAAGTAAAGCACGCACGAGGCGGCGCACCTGGTCGTCGTGCTGCAGCTGCAGCTGCGGCGCGTGCGCCACCACGCCCACCGACTCCGTGGACACCGCGCTGCCGCACGCCGCCTCCCCCGCTCCCCCCCACCTGTACTCGTAAGTAAAGCACGCACGAGGCGGCGCACCTGGTCGTCGTGCTGCAGCTGCAGCTGCGGCGCGTGCGCCACCACGCCCACCGACTCCGTGGACACCGCGCTGCCGCACGCCGCCTCCCCCGCTCCCTCCCCACCTGTACTCGTAAGTAAAGCACGCACGAGGCGGCGCACCTGGTCGTCGTGCTGCAGCTGCAGCTGCGGCGCGTGCGCCACCACGCCCACCGACTCCGTGGACACCGCGCTGCCGCACGCCGCCTCCCCCGCTCCCTCCCCACCTGTACTCGTAAGTAAAGCACGCACGAGGTGGCGCACCTGGTCGTCGTGCTGCAGCTGCAGCTGCGGCGCGTGCGCCACCACGCCCACCGACTCCGTGGACACCGCGCTGCCGCACGCCGCCTCCCCCGCTCCCTCCCCACCTGTACTCGTAAGTAAAGCACGCACGAGGCGGCGCACCTGGTCGTCGTGCTGCAGCTGCAGCTGCGGCGCGTGCGCCACCACGCCCACCGACTCCGTGGACACCGCGCTGCCGCACGCCGCCTCCCCCGCTCCCTCCCCACCTGTACTCGTAAGTAAAGCACGCACGAGGTGGCGCACCTGGTCGTCGTGCTGCAGCTGCAGCTGCGGCGCGTGCGCCACCACGCCCACCGACTCCGTGGACACCGCGCTGCCGCACGCCGCCTCCCCCGCTCCCTCCCCACCTGTACTCGTAAGTAAAGCACGCACGAGGCGGCGCACCTGGTCGTCGTGCTGCAGCTGCAGCTGCGGCGCGTGCGCCACCACGCCCACCGACTCCGTGGACACCGCGCTGCCGCACGCCGCCTCCCCCGCTCCCTCCCCACCTGTACTCGTAAGTAAAGCACGCACGAGGCGGCGCACCTGGTCGTCGTGCTGCAGCTGCAGCTGCGGCGCGTGCGCCACCACGCCCACCGACTCCGTGGACACCGCGCTGCCGCACGCCGCCTCCCCCGCTCCCTCCCCACCTGTACTCGTAAGGTAAAGCACGCACGAGGTGGCGCACCTGGTCGTCGTGCTGCAGCTGCAGCTGCGGCGCGTGCGCCACCACGCCCACCGACTCCGTGGACACCGCGCTGCCGCACGCCGCCTCCCCCGCTCCCTCCCCACCTGTACTCGTAAGTAAAGCACGCACGAGGCGGCGCACCTGGTCGTCGTGCTGCAGCTGCAGCTGCGGCGCGTGCGCCACCACGCCCACCGACTCCGTGGACACCGCGCTGCCGCACGCCGCCTCCCCCGCTCCCTCCCCACCTGTACTCGTAAGTAAAGCACGCACGAGGCGGCGCACCTGGTCGTCGTGCTGCAGCTGCAGCTGCGGCGCGTGCGCCACCACGCCCACCGACTCCGTGGACACCGCGCTGCCGCACGCCGCCTCCCCCGCTCCCTCCCCACCTGTACTCGTAAGTAAAGCACGCACGAGGTGGCGCACCTGGTCGTCGTGCTGCAGCTGCAGCTGCGGCGCGTGCGCCACCACGCCCACCGACTCCGTGGACACCGCGCTGCCGCACGCCGCCTCCCCCCGCTCCCTCAGCGCCTGTACTCGTAAGTAAAGCACGCACGAGGCGGCGCACCTGGTCGTCGTGCTGCAGCTGCAGCTGCGGCGCGTGCGCCACCACGCCCACCGACTCCGTGGACACCGCGCTGCCGCACGCCGCCTCCCCCCGCTCCCTCCCCACCTGTACTCGTAAGTAAAGCACGCACGAGGCGGCGCACCTGGTCGTCGTGCTGCAGCTGCAGCTGCGGCGCGTGCGCCACCACGCCCACCGACTCCGTGGACACCGCGCTGCCGCACGCCGCCTCCCCCGCTCCCTCCCCACCTGTACTCGTAAGTAAAGCACGCACGAGGTGGCGCACCTGGTCGTCGTGCTGCAGCTGCAGCTGCGGCGCGTGCGCCACCACGCCCACCGACTCCGTGGACACCGCGCTGCCGCACGCCGCCTCCCCCGCTCCCTCCCCACCTGTACTCGTAAGTAAAGCACGCACGAGGCGGCGCACCTGGTCGTCGTGCTGCAGCTGCAGCTGCGGCGCGTGCGCCACCACGCCCACCGACTCCGTGGACACCGCGCTGCCGCACGCCGCCTCCCCCGCTCCCTCCCCACCTGTACTCGTAAGTAAAGCACGCACGAGGCGGCGCACCTGGTCGTCGTGCTGCAGCTGCAGCTGCGGCGCGTGCGCCACCACGCCCACCGACTCCGTGGACACCGCGCTGCCGCACGCCGCCTCCCCCGCTCCCTCCCCACCTGTACTCGTAAGTAAAGCACGCACGAGGCGGCGCACCTGGTCGTCGTGCTGCAGCTGCAGCTGCGGCGCGTGCGCCACCACGCCCACCGACTCCGTGGACACCGCGCTGCCGCACGCCGCCTCCCCCGCTCCCTCCCCACCTGTACTCGTAAGTAAAGCACGCACGAGGCGGCGCACCTGGTCGTCGTGCTGCAGCTGCAGCTGCGGCGCGTGCGCCACCACGCCCACCGACTCCGTGGACACCGCGCTGCCGCACGCCGCCTCCCCCCGCTCCCTCCCCACCTGTACTCGTAAGTAAAGCACGCACGAGGCGGCGCACCTGGTCGTCGTGCTGCAGCTGCAGCTGCGGCGCGTGCGCCACCACGCCCACCGACTCCGTGGACACCGCGCTGCCGCACGCCGCCTCCCCCGCTCCCTCCCCACCTGTACTCGTAAGTAAAGCACGCACGAGGCGGCGCACCTGGTCGTCGTGCTGCAGCTGCAGCTGCGGCGCGTGCGCCACCACGCCCACCGACTCCGTGGACACCGCGCTGCCGCACGCCGCCTCCCCCGCTCCCTCCCCACCTGTACTCGTAAGTAAAGCACGCACGAGGCGGCGCACCTGGTCGTCGTGCTGCAGCTGCAGCTGCGGCGCGTGCGCCACCACGCCCACCGACTCCGTGGACACCGCGCTGCCGCACGCCGCCTCCCCCGCTCCCTCCCCACCCTTCTCACCACCCGCCCGCCGTATCGTTACTGGCGACGACTCTACATCGAAAAGTATAATTTTTTACATAATACTCATTGATCATTGAATAAAACTCATTGATAATCCAGCCGTCAAAATAGGTATACAATTTCCTTCATATCTCTATTATTTTTCTTTATATCTTTATTGTTCTTCTGTTGCGTCTTACGAGACCCACTGGACAAAACGGCGTGATGGATTATCAAACACACAGCAAGTATGTTACATATCACGATAAAAATAACACATAGTTTCATACTTTAATTTACCACAAACACACTCACAAATTTTAGTCAATTAGATAATTGGTGAAGCAACACTGAGTTCACGCGAGAAAAATGGAGTTGATGGGTATCAACTAAAATATGATTATTATCAAGCAGATTTATTTGTATGTTGACACTATTTTATTTTTCTTAAGACCGTGCACAGTCTGCATCTAATATGTTCAGCATTGGAATTGTAAAGTGTGACTGTAATGAAGTAACGAAAAGTCATACTATTATCGATATACACTGCAGCTGTATTATGGTTGCAACGCGAATGGGTTCGATCAGGGAAGGAGCATGCTCGCACTAGTTGATATGATTACTTTTAAGCCTAGAGATTCATGTGAATACGTACTACTCTGTTTGGTATTTCTGCCGTCAAATGCCAGCGTCTACACTACCGAGTAGTCTAAAGGATATAAAGAGCCATATAATTACAGGTTGTGGGGCATATGAGACAGGTTTCATTTCATTTCATTTACTTTCAATTACAGGTTGTGAGGCATTACATCTCAGTCCTCAGTGGTAAAAATGCATCTGGAGTCTTTTATATTTGAAGTAAGCTACATGTGTCCACAGGCTGCAGAAGTCACTTACCATCAGGTAGACTGTAACTACGTTTGTCACTAGAGGTTTAAAAAAAGAATAATTAATAGAATCAGGCGTTACTTTGCGGAAATCCATTATATCAGAGATGTTAAGAGCTACATCGCAACCATCTGCTCAATAAAATAAAATGATGTGTCTTACCTAATTTGAAGAACACCTCCCGCCCTCCCTCGATTGCGTGCATTGTCTCCGTCTCCACTATTCCCAACACCACTACTCTAGGAAAGAAACACCATCGTCGATAATACGACACATGTTTAGCCTCTACACGAGGCATCTTCAGGTGATGTACACTCTACGGTGGCTGACCGCTAAGTGTTAGTGGTGACGGGATTAGTGCACGCAATTGAGGGAGAGCGGGAGGTGCTCCTCAAACTAGGTAAGACACATCATTCTATTTTATTGAGCGGATGGTTGCGAAGTAACTCTTAACATCTTTAAAAAAAGAATACCAGCGTGAAATAGCAGTATAATGACATAACGCTGCTGTGTTTCAAAAGTTACGGAAAAACGACCAAGAAGTCACATCTTATTGCACCATGACAGTGCTTCAGTACACTGCGCGAACAAGACAAAGTCACTTTTGGCTTCTGAAAATGTAAAGTTCGTGGCCCAACCCGCACATAGTCCAGACCTCGATTCGAGAGACTCTCGATTTCTTTAATGTTCCGAAAGTCTAAGATTTGATGAGAGGTTTGACATTACCGGAGGCAGTGATAAATTTCAACCAGCATCTAAAACATGCCCTCAGACCGATGATACTTATTTGCAAAAATGGTTTGAGCGAATGAGTATTTAAAATGAAATAAAAAACGCTTTGGAAAGCAGTAAGTATATTAGTTTACAAAAAAATGTTTTATTTATGTGTAACGCGAAAACTTTAATGTATCACACGTACGTACGGCTCTTTTCTTGCCTAAAAGTCTGTTCATTAACATTATACTTCAATGATATATTGTTTTGGTCAATTGTAAAATGGCATATCTTGCCATGTAACGGTGACCACGTCGTTCCGTGGATATCGTAAGAGGCCGCAGAGAGAAATGAACACAAGACGCACAGCGGTATCTTCTTTATGATACCTCAAAATAATATAAAAGTACGGTTGCCCACGCTCTTATCAAGCCCATAAACACAATGTTCAACAGAGGTATTTAATACACTGTATTATATGAATGAAAAATATAAATATTTCGTTTTGTATTTAGTAGCTCGTATGAGGTTTGCTTCCTTAGGCCGTCGAAGTAATATCCTAATAGAAGAGACGCTTAGATTTGGTTGTTTACAACACATGTTGAAGTCCACGGGCTCAAACTTAGTCTGTGCTATAAAAAGGTGCTCTGTGCATTCGACCAAACCCTGCACAGATTTAGTTTAGATAAGTCATTTAGTAGTACATATTGCTTGTAAGCCGCGGGTGACCACTAAGGAACAAGGATCGAGCACAGCAATATAAGCATGCAGTCATGCCAGCACACCGCTCACCGCGCCACCGCGTCAGCTCGCGCCCCGCCCCCACCAGCGCCCTACAACAGCGTTCTATCACACCTACAACCACAGCTGATATTCACCTATTGTACAATTTATTGTTTTGACGTGAATACGTCTTTAAATTAACTTCCATAGTGGGAGCTAAGTTAGAAAACAGATAATAACAGTATTTCATGAACGAGTTTCTTCTGATCGGCTTGACTCACTGGCGCTACGAAAAGATGTTGCATCTCTTCACATATATTATCGTATCTACCAAGAGGAGTCCTCAATTGTTGTGGAAATTGTTCCGACTACTTTCGGACGCTAAATTTCACCATCACCCATCTTGACAAAACTTATAACAACGTTCGCCCCTTCTTCTACAAAAACAAAATTGGGGCAAACACGCAGTGGCGAAGCCTCCATAGAAGCCCAGAAGCCGGGCTTGCTCTATCAAACTGCTCAATCAATAATATCAACTAATAAAATAACTCGTAAACTGTTTCAAACTATTTCAAGTTTCCTGCGCGCCTTTTAACCGAGCTTTCGAGAAGACGATCGCTCCCTTTCTAACCTGTGGCAAAATGTTCTATAATGAAATATAACTACGAAATGTTTATATAGCAATTAATATAGAACTAAAAGCTGGGCATTGCTCTGAAGTTGTTTACGGCCGATTCGTTTGCAAGTTCACTTCACATTTCAATGTTTATGTTTGTTTTTGTTGTGTCGGTTAAAAATTTAAATTTGCTTTTTCAAAGATTTTAGTGAAAATGGGAGGATAATAGTGTTCCTTGTGATGAATATAAGTGTATTAAAGTACTAATCAGCGAGGAAAAGGTAAATCTTTAAAAATGAAATTTGAATTCAATAAACATTTCTTCATACTATAATAGGTAGAGGACTCTTTAAAGTTTAATTAATATAGGCGTATTTAAAGGTTTTATAACTCAATACTTATATTGAACATGAACATGAGTTAAAAATATCATTTTGAACTGCAGCATAAAATATGAGACCTAATAAATTAAATGAATACATGTATTGAGGTTTTTAACGAATATTCCTTTATTCAGTATATAAAATTTTAATAGCGCCATCTACTTATTTCTATAGGTGTGGTGTGGTGGGGTATTCACGTAAATATCATGGCCATGTCCACGACACATTTTTTATAGAATTAGGGTGCATACGAGTCACAGTCCACCTAATAGTAAGTATGTGCTGAGGCCTATAGACATCTACATCTATTCTTGGTTAAGAATTAAAATGCAGATGCGTTATCACCCCTTAGGACTAAGACGTAATGCCTCGTTTCCAGTAAAAAGGGTCTCCAGTTCTTTACTTTACATACGAAACACAGCACTTATAAGGCCGTCTTATATCCCGTATCGTGGAGGAAGTTTACAAATATAAATTACATAAGTACAAACATCCAAACCCAGAATAATTATTTATAGGATTATAGGCAATACAAATACTTGTTCCGTGGCTGCGCGTTTATCGCGGCACTCAGAGGCCACTCCGCCACGGGGCCAGCAAGCAGCACTTGTGCGCTGCACCACAAGCAATACGTTACGTAGTAAGTATTAGTTAATCTGTGGCTGCACGTACCGAGGTAGTCGACGATGGCGCGCAGCGTGAGGTCGCGCGAGCGCTGAGTGAGCGCGTCGAAACGATCCCACTCCTCAGGACGCACCTGCAATAATAAACCTTGTGAGTGGAAGAATATCCACCTTTCCATATCGTCCCGCGGGTGTCGTAAGGCGACAGAGATGGGCAGCACCGACTTTTTAACAACACTTAAGAAACTAAAACTGCGGTAGCCATCCCGTGTACCAAGCGTGGCGACTATGACAAAATGCACTCCCCCCCCCCCTCCCCCTATGAGGCAATCTATAGGTAAGGCTTATGTACAGTAGTGAACTTTTATAGGCTATTACTGTAATTGTTATGGTAGCAGCTAGTCTTTTGAATATAGAAAAAGGATGACAAACAAATACACATTCCACTTTATGGTAAGTGGACGCTATACCCCATAATTTACATCTACCATCGATTAAGAATCAAAATGCAGATGCGTTGTCAACCCTGAGGACTAAGATAGAATGCCTGTTTCCAGTTAAAGGTCTCCGGTTCTCGATACTCATCGTACGAAATACCGCAACATTCAGCAGCTATTTTACGCCGGTATTCTGTGAGTGTGGTCTTTCCCCGGTCTTAAAACTATAATCCAGTTGCAACGTGGCTCTACCACGTGTAAAAGTAGTAATCTGTGCTGGAAGAAAGAAAACTTTACACTGTCGCCTTACTCGCCTAGATAGTTAATGCGATTTGAATCTGACAATATTGTGAAACCTCATAATTTTTAACCTCAATGAAACCTAATGGTCGTTAGCATCTTATATCTGTGTATTTTATGATATGTATAATATGACCTGTGTAGTGATGGGTAAGAATACACACCAGCATTACCCCATATCTTCCCGTGGGTGTCGTAAGAGGCGACAGATGAAAACAGTTAGCTTGCTAGCATCTTTCTGATACTAGCAAAATCAATGAAAATTGCGGTTGCCAACCCGCTCTCCAAGCGTGGCAACTATGGCAATATCCCCCCATGGTCAACGCCATAAATAAACGGTCCCAGTCCCCGGCGGCCCCACTATTCCTGGGAACGGTGACGATCATGATAACGGCGGGGCAGCGGGTGCTAAGCATCTCCGATGGAGGTTTGGCTGCCTTAGACGACTCGACCTGGCGACATATTTTACTGTAGGATTATCTGAGTTCCGAAGAGAGGGAGAGGATACGCACCTCACATTAAGCAAATTAACGATCCATCGGGCGACCATCTGTTACAAGAAAGCGTCGAATTTATCGTCCACAAGTCTCTAGTTAACAACGTAGTAAAGATTGGGAGTGTGTCAACGAGGGTCGCGTACCTTAAACTCAGAAGCACCAAACGGTATTCGCAGAAGGTCATACAGGTTTACGCACCAACCTCGGCACATCCCAAAGAGGAGGTGGAGGAAATGTATGTAGATATCTCCAGAACTATGCATTCTTCCAAAAACCCACTATATGGTGTTAATATGAGATTTCAACGCAAAACAAGGGGCACAAGGGAGAACGGTGAGCTGAAAGTAGGGAAATTCGGCAGACTTTATGGAGAAAGAGACTCTTTGTGATGAACTATTTCTTCAAGATGCAGCCCCACATAAAATGGGCCTGGTCGAGCCCCTACGGTTCGACAAAAAATTAGATATGTAAGTTATTATAAAAAGTATCAATTTTTTCAAAGATGGTTCCAGTGGAAAGACGGTTTCATTACGTTTGAATAGAGAATTGCAAATGAGTACATGATTTAATAGTTTTTTTTTAATTTATTTTATGTACACACATTAAGGTACAGAAGCAGTCTTACAGTAATTACGTACAAAGGTTCTACTTATTCCAAATTCGCTGAAATATCTTCCAGTAGACCCATAAAGGAAATTATATTTAAATTGCAAGCTTAGTGCATACAATAGTACTACTAAAAATAAATAATATACACAATGTTACGTAAATTATATAAAATAAAACAAATCAATAAATAATAATAATAATAAATACGATAGTTACATATGATATATATAAACTAAAACTAATATAATAGAATAATATATATATATATATATATATATATATATATATATATATATATATATATAATTAACAGGATGCAAAGTAGTTATCTCTAAGACGTTTCTTGAATACCAACAAAGTTTCGGAATTTCTTATATTTGACGGTAGTGAGTTCCATAATCTTACCGCGTGAACTGAAAAGGAGTGGGAGTAAAAACCGGAATTAAAGACGGGAAAGTCAAGAAGATTTTTAACAGGGGATCTGCATGGTTTGTACGGAAAATGGGTGAAGGAAAATTGGCTTCTGAGGTATGTGGGAGAGGAAGGGTTGTGCAAAATGTTATAGAGGAGACATAACAATCGAGTGTTCCTTCGAAGTCGAATTGGGAGCCACTTGAGTTGCTTACGAAACTGAGATATACGGTCAAATTTCTTGAGCCCAAATATAAAACGGATACACTGATTTTGCAAGCGCTCAAGTTTATTAAGAAGCTCCTCTGTAGCATCCAAATAACAGGCATCCGCATAATCAAGGAGAGGAAGAATAAGAGTATTGACTAATTGTTGCTATGTTAGGGTTTTGACGTTAAACAAGGATGTGAATTCAATGGCAGAATGATGGCCTGAGATTTCGTGGGATTAACTAATAGTCCGAAGGATGCAGACCATTCACAGATGCGGCCCAGATCCGCATTCATAGCTGCAATTGCTTTATTTGTATCACCCACCGGAAAATGACGATAAAGCTGTAAGTCATCCGCGTAGAGATGGTAATTAGATGTAATAACACTCGTTATAGAGTTCATAAATATGGAAAATAAAAGGGGGGAAAGAACGCCACCCTGAGGTACACCCGTAGTGATACCAGACCAATCGGATATAGTGTCATTAACACGGACACAATGTGATCGACCACGAAGATATGAATCAAACCATGCGATGGCAGATGGGGAAATGTTTATAGATTCCAGGATCCGGAGAAGAATATCAAAGTCTACTGAGGTAAAAGCACTACTAAAGTCAAGCAAAACTAAAAGTGTAAGAGATTTATTGTCCATGGCCCAACGGATATCATCGGTTACTTTAAGTAAAGCAGTGACAGTGCTGTGTCCACGACGAAAGCCCGACTGATAAGTGAAGAGCAAGGAGTTAGACGATAAGAAGAGAGAGAGTTGACTATGGATGATGTGTTCCAAAACTTTAGAAAGAAAGGGTAAAATAGATATGGGACTGTTATACCCCATCAATGTTAGGAGATCGGTTAACACATCTATGTTAGGAGATCGGTTAACACATCTCTTTCACGCTGCTGCGTCAGCGACATAAAGCCTATATAACCGATTTCCCGACGAACGCCAGTTAGTCTACAGTGAGTCTTCAGAGAGTCTTCAGTCGGTCTACAAGAAGTCTACAAGTCTCAGTCATCGTTACTAAGTCATTACTATATCCTTACAAAATCTCTAAGTCCTAGTTATTATAAGTGTATTAATTTCTTATTGTGAATTTAATTGAATTATATTGTATCGTGTATTAAATAGTTTTTTTTAAAAAGCTCTATCCACGGTCCCGTATAATATTGGTGGCAGCGGTGGGATACGAAAATCCTACCCGAATACGTTTCCGAAGAAGTGAAAGTGAATAAAGTGAATCAAAAGTGAAATAAAAGTGTAAAGAAAGTGAAAAGTGCATTAAGAAAACCGACACCTAGCCTGTTATAGTAACAGGCCATCGGGTGATCCCTGCCCATCATCACCATCCTTGTTGGCATACAAGGGTCTCTGTCTCCGACGCATAAGAAACATGAACGCAAGCCTTATCATCACTCTATCATTGTTTCTGTAAGTGACATTCTTAAAAATAATTATTTCGATTGAACTCAGAACAAAGACATTCCTTAAATAATTTTAAAGCATATTTTATGTAACACTATAATATTTCTAATATAAATCGACCCATTGTTCCGGTCATTGAATAAGTCACTGTGCTACATTGTTAAATGTGTTTACGTTAACATTACCCTTTGACCCTTTGTTCATTGTTGCATACCTTAGCCGATAAGCGTTTATTTTTCGATAACCCTTTTTATATAACTAAATTACAATGAGTAAGTGTGAAGAGACTCCCTGTGCCTCTAGGAACCTACCAATGCGTGGCGAAATGGAAGAAAAAACGGTGGAAATAGGTGTATTACTGAAATTCATTAAACCTTTCGATGGATCACGGGAAAAAATTAAACCCATTTATATCTAATTGCCAAAATGCATATAGTCTTACTTCTAAATCCCAAAAATCGATATTATTTAAATATATACTAAGCCAACTAGAAGGTAGGGCTGAAACGACGTGCAGTATTAAGGAATTCGAATCTTTTGAACAATTTTTGGAATTTTTAAAACAACAATTCGGCGAAAGAAAGCACTACTCTCATCTCCTGTCGGACCTACAGGACTGTAAGCAGGGTTTAACAGAATCGGTTAATCAATTTGCCTTAAGGTTAGAAACGTGCCTGGCTAAATTGTTGACCGAAATAAATATTTCTATCCCAACCAAAAGGAAAACGGAACTATCAGGTCGTGTAGCCGCTATGGAGGATCTAGCCCTCCACACATTCGTCATAGGACTCCACCCGCGATTATCCCAAATAGTCAGGTGTCGTGACCCTGACTATTTAAATTCAGCCGGTAACTTTGCGGTAGCCGAAGAGAAAATCCTTTCTAGCATAGGAAAAAGACCCCAACCATCACATTCCCAACATATATACAATGATAGAAGAACGCCGCCTCGTCGTAGTATTCCACCATTTCAACCCAATTACCGCCCCGATAATTTTAGGACTAACACAAACGTCTTTTGTCGATACTGCAAAAGCATCGGTCACAGTATAGAAAACTGTCGCAAACGACAGTATAACAACAGCAGGCAACAGTTTGGTGCGTCAACCTCACAAGGTCCACCTCACATATTCCCACAGCGTGGCGAAAACACGCCACGTAAAGTCCACACCGTCGAACAGGTGGTCGCGGTAGACAAAGGATTTGATGAGGTTGACCGCAATTTAAACGAATAAAGGGC